GTGATAATGTATCAAAGGAGAAAATAATAAGCAGATTAATCCGTAATTAAGTATTTACCTGCAGTAAACATTTGATCCTCTCTCCTGGAGCCACGATCACCGTAGTGAAGACCCCTCCCAAACAGCCGGACAGGAATATTTGAGTGTGCCTGAATAGAGCAGAAAATAATCACTTTCAGACACCAGGAGGAACCAATCAGCTGCGTAGGTTACGTTCTTTAACCTGCAAGGACCCTAAAACACCCTGTGTGTATTCTGTGCTGCTTTAGAGCTATTCAGTCCTCTGTTGGAATACTTTACAGAAGAAACGTTCTTCTAAGTCAAATGGAATCACTTTCCAGATGCCTAGCTATCCCTAAAACTCCACAGGATACATGTGCACATTGGGGGGGGAGGGGGGGGGGGGGGGGGGTGCTACAGGTCATACAAGGACAGGAAGTCCTTCTGAGGCTGCCGCAGGTTTACAGCACGTGGGGCATTTCCACATACATATAGTGAGCTGTGTGGGTGGGTGTGTGTGTGTAAGAGGAAAGGAGGAGTGTCCTAAAGTTGGCAAATGATAGCAGAGGGGAGGGCAATAGTGGAATAGTTAAATATAGAGCTCGTATTCCAAGTATTGCAAACACACCATTAAAAATACACTTATAATGTGTGCGCGTGTGTGTGTGTGTGTGTGTGTGTGTGTGTGTGTGTGTGTGTGTGTGTGTGTGTGTGTGTGTGTGTGTGTGTGTGTGTGTGTGTGTGTTTGCAGGGTAATATGAGGAAAGGAACGTGAAGGAGTAGTGTTGTTTAAAGTGGGAGGATGTTAGCAGAGGGGAGGGTGACAGAGGAATAGTTATATATCTTGTGTTACTTACAAGTATTACAAACACTGTAAATCAAACCCTCATGGTGTGTGTGTGTGTGTGTGTGTGTGTGTGTGTGTGTGTGTGTGTGTGTGTGTGTGTGTGTGTGTGTGTGTGTGTGTGTGTGTGTGTGTGTGTGTGTGTGTGTGTGTGTGTGTACTTACGTCAGGGGTTTGTTAGGGTCGGGCTGCTGGAGCTGTTTACCCAGACCGAACCCGAAGAAACTGATGGCCATCATCGGAGCGACGCCCGCCAGAGGAGCCCCCATACCTTTATACAGGCCGAGGACACCCTACACACACACACACACACACACACACACACACACACACACACACACACACACACACACACACACACACACACACACACACACACACACACACACACACACACACACATACACACACACACACACACCATTTCATCAATCAATTATGTGCAAAAATAATAGTCCACCGATTAACTCAAATTCACACAATAGGAGAAAGCATATATTCATATTTCATTTTTCTGGAGTTGACTAACCGGGAACTGTATTCTGTAGTTGTGTGTGTGTGTGTGTGTGTGTGTGTGTGTGTGTGTGTGTGTGTGTGTGTGTGTGTGTGTGTGTGTGTGTGTGTTCACCTCTTTGGTGACGGTCTTGCGGAAGCAGTCGTATGTTCCTCTGTAGAGGACATACTGAGCGCAAGGGGCTTTAGGCTGCGTCTGTAGCCTCACCTGGAGAAAAGCAATTAATTAGAAAGGTCAGACAAACACACACACACAGGCACACACACACACACACACACAGGCACATATCTTGGGCCATGTGTTTTGGAGGGGTGGGTAGTTGAGACGGTAGATAAAGGAAACACCCATCAATGCCTGCTGCTCAGTGTCGCAGATACAAAAAAACGTTGTTGTGAGAGTCTGACAGTGAGAGGGAGATAAAGCTTGCTCTATGTGATAATAATATAACATCACACAGTAATACTAGCAGCACTAAACACAAAGTTCAGTGCCGTAGCCGAGGCTGATGAGAACTTCATTAATGTTGCAGGTATACATATCAAAATCATGGCCCAATGATGGCACCAAATAAAAAGTAATGGGATAAATAAAGTTATTGCAACTCATCCTGGGGGGAACATGAATGTATGGACTACATTTCATAGTAATACATCCAAAACACTAATGCATCTGCGAATGATCCTGTGTAGAATGCTTATGCTGTCGGTGAACCTTTAGTTGGCCGACATGTCATGGACGGTTTCGCTATGAATAGAAAACAGTCGTAAAAAATCCCTCCACGGAAAACCTTTCTTCTCACTTCCCTTCTCTGAAAACATAAATCTTAGCAGGGTCTGATTGTTCAGCAGTCACAGGGTGGATGTTGTGAAAGACAACTCACGAGTCAAAGATGGATCAACACAACGACTGATAAGAAGTCAACTTTGAATCTCAAATGATTCTAAAACACTTTTGTTTGGAGATGTCGTCTCAATGGAAAAGATAACATATATGGTTAAGGGTAACCAAAGGTTGGGGGACAGTTTTTAAAGGGTTTGTGTCTCTTTGACCCTATATGAAATGTTACAAATTCCTAACCAATTACGACTAAGAAACTCCTGAATCAAACAAATAAATATTACAGTTATTTATTGCCTTTTAATTTGTTTAACACCACAATTATTTAAATAATCTGCAGATAATTGTGGACTAGTCTCTAATGTCCCTCTATATAAAACATGAGACATATAAAGCCTCAGGACCTTCAGCTGTACATCAATTACACCTGCAGGCTGGAATAAGGACAAATGTGCGTTTTACATATTCTACAAAAAATGTTGTGACTTAATATCCAGTTTAAATTGTTCCATGTGGATCGTGAGATGCTTTAAATTCAGATGTATTTGTGTTGTATATCAGTCATCCACCTGTCATTGCAAGCCACCCATTAATGGATTATTAGCCGATTAACAGGACATGTACTTTTGTTGGCTACAGTTTCTCAAATAAGACCATTTTTTACATTTATGCACAAAATGACCGAATTCCAAAACTACAGAATTCGTAATTCAGACATAGGCTACTATATATATTTTTCCTAGTAGTTTGTCATATTTGTATTGTATTTCTGAATGTTTCTTGTACGAATATTTAATTTTTGTAATCTCTATTATAATATTACTTGTTAGACGCTTTTATCCAAAGCGCAATTTGGGGTGAAGTGTCTTGCCCAGGGACACAACGACATGCTGACTGCAGTGGGGTTTGAACCTGTGACCCCCTGATCCAGACACCAAGGTTCTATCCACTGCGCCACACCCCTCCCTAATATGCTTTCACTTTGATGCCTCAAACTAATTCCTAGCAATAAACCTAATTGTGATTATAAATCTTATAATATAACAGATTTCTTTGTGATATGTAACTGAATATCTTTGTTATTACTGTGACTTTTTCAAAACATTTGAACACTCCACCTTGAGTTTCTTCTGGCACTTTATATACAAAACAATAGATTATTTTAAATATTTACATTGTAGTCCTACTGTACGTCTCCTTTTACTATTACTACCAGATACAACTCCTTATAGCTCACATGTCCTTAGTGACATTGTAAGCTGATTTATCAATAATCCCCTCCACACCTTTATCTGATCACTGACTCTGTTAATCCTTTTCTCAGACATCAAACTCCAGAATAAAACCGCCCACAAAGCAGGAAATACAATTCTAAACACATGAAATGTAGTCATTGGTAATATAAAAGTAAGTGTATGTTACATTCACAATCTTCTGGTAGTATATAGCCTGACCAACATGTAGTAGGGAGTCACCTTGATGGTGTCCAGCGGGTGTCCGGCCAGCAGCAGGCAGGCTCCGGCGACCCCCCCAGCCACGAAGTTCTTAAGCGGAGAAACTCTTGCCTCTTCCCCCATCGTCTCCTCCGCATGGCCGGGGAACCGCACACACACCGCTGTCTCTGCGCGTGTGTGTGTGTGTGTGTGTGTGTGTGAAAGTGGAAGAACACACTGTTTGTCTGCTTGTCTCTATATCTGTTTGTGTGTGTGTGTGTGTGTGTGTGTGTGTGTGTGTGTGTGTGTGTGTGTGTGCGCGCGCGCGTGTGTGTGTGTGTGTGTGTTTGTCTGCTGCGCACTGAAAGAGGCTGGACTTTGCCTTACGGGAGCCGAGTGGGACTGAAAGATACTTTTACCATTAAAAGAAGATGTATGTTACTTTTGTGTAACTAGAGTTTGCGTTAGTAAACATGTGAGATTTGAAATGAGGCTCTATAATCTAATTAAAAGCTACACAGCAGCGACCTCTAGTGTTGAAACCAGTTACAGTGAACAGGTTGGAGGTTACCTGCAGCAGTGGTTCATCAGCATTGGTGGTGGAAAAAGATCATGCTTTACTTATTTGAAAATACTAATATCAAAGATAATACTAGAAGTCCTGCATTGGGAACCTTACTTCAGTACATTAATACAAGTAATACCAGCAAAATATGTTTTAAGTGTGAACAAATAATCTACAGATGGCCAACTTGTTTATATTTTACCTTTTAGTTCTGTTTTATGTTTGTTTATTTTCTACTCTTTTTATTTTTCAAATGTTGTGTAATGCCTTTGTCTCAACATGCTGCTATAACGAAATGTTTTTCCTAATTTGGGATCAATAATATATATCTAATTCTGCTGATAATGTTGTGTCCGATGCTACAATAATAACACACGTTAAAATACAGTATGGTTGAAATAATAAAGGTTTCAAATGCAGGACTTTTGTAATAGAGTATTTTCAAAGTACTTTTACCTCAGTAAATCATCTGGATGTTTCTTCCACCAGTTTTTTGTCAATTTGTAGAGTACTTCTCCATGCTGTTGATGTTAATGATTACCAGTAAAGAGTAAATAAACGCAAGTAGAAAAATACAATAACAAATGTCATGTTTATAAAAAGACGAGCTGACTCCAAACCACATTTTGAAAATGTTAACCGATAATTAAAACAATATAGTAGCACTATTAAAACCTTATGATTAAAAAGGCATTACTTTATATGTCTACCCCTGAGATATGATGTTCATATATTATGTTCTTGAATTAATAAAACAAAAAAATATATAAAAAATGACATCCGGCAGGCTCTTACTACGTCATCAGCAAGCGCCTGAAACCCACATTAGCGGGAATTTGACGGTTTGTTTTCAGAAAGAAGTTTGCATTTGAACAAAATCATTGAATATTTTTGACTAAAACGTTTATTTTAATACTCCGATACTTTCACTCCACTCTCCGGACACTGAAAGGTGAATATTTAACTTTATTTAATTTATATGTTTGCTTTTAAACAGCTAGTTAGCTTGCAGGTTTCCTTAGCTAATGGTGCTTTAGCTCTAACGGTTAGGACTTCCGTGACGGTTGGTCCTGTTAAACTGTGTTTTAATACACTTTCATATCTGTTTAAAGCCACATAAACTCACTGATCTGACCGTGTGTTTTATTTTTGTTTATAAGGCATCGTGTCGCCATGACTCAGAGAAAGAGGACGTCCAACACTCAGAGTAAGGTGAGTTAAAACATCCTGACCATAATCTTCAGACTCACGACAGTCCCGCTTCCTTTATCAACAAATAAAAGTCATATAAATGTACCGTTATTCTCAATAATAGAGGTGTAGAAACGATGTATTTAACCGCCTTGCAAGACATTAAAAACTAAGCTATAATTCAGAAGAATCGGCAACTTAGTGTTGGACTATTCTGTTTCATGTTCCACATTGAAAGTATAATACATATAACTATCTATCCAGTACAACACATACATGCATTATCTATGACCTATACCTACCTACAGAGACATGTCCTAAAGAAGCAGAACAAAAGTATTTAGTATTAGGAAAAGGTAATCCATAGATAAATGTTTTTTTTGATTTAAAAAAAGGTTATCTTCAATATATTATTTGTATTTGTCCCGCTCATGGTACGCAAAACCAAATGTACAATAATTGCCACAAAACATGACTCTACCATTGAGCGAAAAGGAGCAGGGAGAAGAATAACATCTTATGTGACCGGCCCCTTTCTAAAACAAACAAATAAATACAAATAGATGGTCTGCCCTTCATAATAATAATAATAATTATTTTATTTATTTTTTCACAGCCAAACATAACAGTATCTTAGGATACTAAGAGAATCACACACACAAACAACTTATTTCCCACTTGACGGTTAACGGAAAGAAACAAAACATCACATGTATAAGGAAAAGAAAAGTGCAACACCCTCATGAGTCCTACTGGAGAAGAAGGTGGAAAGTGACACATGATGATAATAACAATAACAACAATAACAATGGGACCCGCAAATACAGAGGAGACATCACATCAAAGACATGAAAAACATGAAGGACCAGAGTACAGACTTATTCACATTCTGCTTCATATAGTCCCATCTTTCTTCATTTATACAACTTCTTTAACTGAAAAATACAAATACAATTCTTTAGATCCTTGTGTTGAGAATTCCACAATTGTACACCAACTACCGAAATACTCTTGTTTAAGAGTAGTCCTTGCATATGGATGCTTAAAATGTAATTCCCTTCATGGTCTTCCTTGTCTGATCCAAAAACAAACAACTGTTGTAAACATGCTGGTAACATTCTGCTTTGTGCATTACTGATGATGTCTGCAGCTCAGCTGTCTCTGAGTTTCAAGAGTCCTGACTTAAAAACAGTCTGTCCGTGTGTTCTCTTGAGTCAGCTTTATGAATTATTCTTACTGCCCTTTTCTGTAATATTGACAATGGCTTTATGTTGCTCATGTACGTGTTGCCCCACACTTCTATACAATACATGACAAATGGCCAAATGAGTGAACAGTACAACATCCTCAACGCCTTGTAATCTAGCAAATACTTTGCCTTGTTTAGAACAGAAATATTCCTCGACACTTTGGTTTTAACATGTGCTATGTGTGATTTCCATGTCAGGTTTTCATCCAGCGTCACACCTAAGAATCTAAATTCAGAAACCCTTTCAATAAAAGCTCCATCAATGGACAGTGAAATGTTTTCATCTTTTTTTCTATTAGCAAAAACCATAAACTTCGTTTTATTCAAATTTAGGGTTAACTTATTTTCATCAAACCATCTTTTAAGTTTGACCATTTCATGTCCAATACACTTTGCTAACATGTTTAAATCATCTCCAGAACAAAATACATTTGTGTCGTTTGCAAACGACACAAATTGCAATAATGTTGACGTTTCACATTTGTGACCGGCTCCATCGAAATCAGTCGCATTGACCCGAAGACACCTTTTGAGTTGTATACACTGTTGGAAAGAGGAGATTCCTAGCTTTCTAATGATATCAGGATTGTTTTTGTACTTCAAATATTAAGCGAAATATATCACATTATATAATGACTGTCACCGAGTCATCATTTTGAGAAAAAGGCCTTCAAAGTTTCCTCTTCTCTGGAATCCATCGATCTGATTGATTATTAGTGGAGCAAATGATCAAAGTAGTACGGAGGGAAGATATTTTCGTTTGGAGGGGAAGCTCCACAAGTGTGTGTGTGTGTGTGTTTGTGTAATTTTGCGTTTGTGTGTATTGTGTTTGTTTCCCGGGGAAAACACTCACGAGAAACACCGGCTGTTGTTATGCCTGCTGTGACGTTAAGTTACTCCGTTCTCCGCTTGTAATTATACCGAAGCTTCAAAGTTGTATTTATCATCTGAATTTGCCGAAACAAGTTTAATATTCTGAAAGCCAAGACTTTGTTTAATTAAAATCAGATGAAAACAAACTGTAACGGACCCTGCCGTGTTATCTATGATTACTATACTCTTACATTCATAATGTCAGCCGGAGGGAGGGGGGCGGCGCTGCGGAAGAGCAGATTGCGAGTGAGAGGTGCCTGTCTTCATCCCTTTACAAGCTTAAAGAATGTATTTATCGTGTGATTTTGGAAATAAAAGTTTCATATTCTGAAAGCCAAGACTTTGTTTGTTTAAAATCAAACAAAACACCCGAACCCCGAAAAAATAGTTTTTTACGTAAATCCACGTTTATTCTGAAATGAGCCGTTGTTCCGACTCCGACTGATTTCGATAGAGCGGGTCACATATGTCATTGATGTACAAAATAAAAAGTGTAGGACGCCACATTCTATGTTCATACACTCCGATGGACTACCAGCAAATTCTACATATTGTTGTCTGTTATCTAAATAACTTTTTAACCAATCTAGAACTACTCCTCTCACTCCGTATCTATGTCATTTCGAAATGAATAGGTAATGGTCTATGTCAGGGGTACTCAAATACAAATCTTAAAGGTCCAAAATAAATGTTTCAATAAGACAAAGGTCCGTTTATTACGGTCATTCAAACTTTTAAACAATTGCAACAAGATTCTTAACACGAGGTTGCAAAAACAAAAATAATCTGAATGCAGCAGTTTTCATTGTTATTGTGTCTGTGCTTGACCCCTCAGAGTCGCAGTGTAAGAGCTGCACAGTTATGAATAAAGGCAGCTGCACCCTCTTTCATTCAGCATTCCCATTATTGCTTTATAAATGTATTCCCCCTTGTGTGTCCACTGAGGTTCGTCAGGCCCGACACATCTTCAACAAACTCCCCCTTTGCCTCATCATAAAAACTCACAAACACCAGCAACTGAGCATTGTCAGTGGTGTCAGTGGACTCACACACAGCTAAGGAAATGCACTGTGCATTTTTTATTCCATCACAAAGCTGATGACTCAAATCACCAGCCAGTATTTATGTTCTTCTGGTTGCTGTGGAATCTGAGAGGGGATTTGCTTGATTTGACCTGTTATTTCCTCTTTTTGTTTGCCTTCAACATGGTCTCCATCACTTCAGTCATGCATTCTTTTATACTGTAGTTATTATCCAGTGGAGAGTCCTTACCTACTGCCCTAGTTCAATCAAAGTGGTTACTTTTTTTTGGCTGGGCAGTGTAGTTTTACACACCGTCTGATTTGACTTTCTCAGGACTTAAAACAGTTTTTTGGGGGCAGACCCCCTCAAAGAAAAAAATATATTTACACACGTAAGGTCATCATCTTAATAGTTGTGTATGCTCATCCGTGAGCAGAGCATCAAGTTGACATGTCTATTACAGCTGAATGCGGCGATTACCATTTTGTTCAGCAAAACGCCTCACAAACGTATTAAGATCACAGCTTTAGTGCGTTTTGATTAAATGCTGAGTACAGCCAAACTGACAGTCTCTTCTCTGTCATTGTAGACCGCAAATACCTCATTCCTTCAGTGCGTGGGTCCGAATGCTTCTCGTTTTGCGCCGTCCAGTTCAAATGAAATCGCCGCCAATCGTATGTCCACGCTCGCGCCAGGACCGGGGGAGGGGTTACATGACGTGCATCTTGTGCTGCATTCACTTGCACTCGGACATTAGAGACTTTCTCTCATAAATGTCCGATGAGCCACAACTTTTCTTTCAAAACAAAGCTGCCAACTGGGGTGGCAGCTGGGGTGGCAAGGCCTATGTTTAGGGTGGCAGTTGCCACCCCGGTAGGTGAAACTAGGCTACTAGCTACAGTACAGATGGAACTAGATGAGCTGTTAACTCTCGCTCTGAATTTTTTTTGTTTTAATTCTCGCTCTGACTTAGACAGGTTGAAAGAGACACACACATTTTTCCCACCCGCAGTCCGCGAAGACCCGCCCTACTGTGCCTCTGATTCGCAGATTGTTTGGGGGGAAAAAACGCTGACTGGATGCTGAATGTGATTGGACCAAAGCGTTGACACACACAGGTGGAACACAGTGGAACAGTCAGACATGCAGAGCGCTGTTTGCAGTGGACATAGCGGATAATTTTGACTCGTTGCGAATGCGTTGTGGCGATGTCTCACATATAATACAGAGAGATCATACATATGAAAAGTATAATTTGCTCAGAGTCCGGAGATAGTGGTGGTTCGGTCCGGATCCGGACCGGAGTCCGTAGTTTGAGGATGCCTGGTCTATGGTGTCAATAAATACACCTATTGTGTATTTCTTTCTTTCTATAGCTGTTGTAATTTCTTCTGTTATTTTCATTAAAGCTAAAGCTGTAGATCAATTGTTCCTAAATCCATACTGACTCTCACAATAACTCGTTTTTTTTTCAATACAATTATCAGATTTTTGGACAAACACTTTCTCAAGGACCTTTGAAAATTGTGAAAGCAAGGACACTGGTCTGTAGTTGGTAAATTGGCTTAGTGATCTAATGTTTATTTTCTTAGTAATGGACAGCAGGCATTGTTATTTATGAATCGACAGAGACGCTCTTTAGACGTGCATTACCTCTCTAAGCCCTCTCCAGACGGCTAAGAGCTGGAATATGATTCTCTTTAAGAAGGATGGAGAAGGCAGTGAGGTGAAGGAAGACTACAGGCTGAACATTAAAAGAGCCTCTTGTTTATAATGGGGGGGTTGGGCTGCCATCTTGTGGACAGCTGTAGTTACTGCATGTGTACCCTTTCAAACCATTCAAATGGATTTATATTACATACACTTATGTTCAGGGGGTCCGCGGGGTCTTAAGAAGTATTACAAGTTGATCAATCAATTTAGCGAAAATGAAGGCTATTAAAAAGTATTAAAGGGCATTTTCCAAGGCATTACATTTTGTAGCTTGTTTTCAATAAGTATATAAATTGTCCAAAGAGGTTGTATTCTACAGTGTGCCTGAATGTAATCATTGCGTAGGTGTGTAGTGTGATTAGTAGTTTATTGATGGCATCCCGTTGGGTTTGACGTCATCTGAACAGGACATCGCACGCTCACTGCTTGATAGCGCGAAGCTCCGTTTACGCCGGTTGTTAAGCAACATCGTTATGGGGAAATGCAAGTCTGTGTCCAAATGGTTGGAAGATAAGGAGGAAGGACAATCAATACTGTATATAGTCAATGTGAGGTAAAGTGTGTCGCCAAGGTAACCGGTTAGAACTCAAAGTGGAGATGAGGTCTTAAAATGTATGGAAAGGGTCTTAAAAAAGGTCTTAAAAAAGGTCTTAAAAGACAAATAAAAATGTTTACTCTGGTGATGATAATAAAAATAATAGATTACATTTGTGTAGCGCCTTCCAATGGACCCAAGGCCGCTTTACATGGTGAACAACAAACGGGGCAAATAATAAAGTACAACATTAAATAAATAGGAGTGGGAGTGGAAGCAGGGGGACTGTGATGGGTTAGGGGTCAAAGGTCATGGTGAACAGCTGAAAATCAGTTATATTATATTTCATATAAACAAAATCAGGGAATATTTTGTTCGCCCGTAGAAAACCCCGGGTCCCGCTGCGACTCAGGAGGAAGACGACGACCAGACGTTCACTCAGCCGAGCACCACGCAGGTCCAGAGAGGGCTGGAGAAGCTCACACCGGCTCAGGTCGACCAGAAGGTGAGAGGCACACAGGGAGGGTCAGTGTTTCTGCCAGACCAGAGGGATGTCCTTTTCCCTTTTCCCTTTTCGTCATTTCAAGCGATACACTTTTTTTTAAATGACGGCAAGACGCCCCCCTGGCGGAAACGCTGGGAAGGGTTATTTTAGATCATCACAAAACGAAATGTTTTAAATATTTCCTCAAACACTTCTTTCCCCCGCAGACAGCTGAGGTGGTGCAGTTCTTCTTGGTGAAGGATCAGAAGAAGATTCCTGTTCGCCGAGCAGGTACAGCGGCACACGCTAACTCAACATTTCAGTTTGAAGTTCAGTTAAAGTTCAAGATATCTTCTTTAATCTAGTGTTTTAGATCCGGTATGTTTTTTCAGCTGTATAGAAAGATAGTATAGATTCTGGGGCTGCATATTTATTGTGATTCTATTGGAATTAAAACGTTTTTTATGGTGAATGTATAGGAAGTAAAATGTGGTTATCCACTGGTTTACAGCTGCTCCTTCTATCCACAAGCTCTATTTGAATGAAGATGCAAATCCCCCCGAGCTGAGCTCTGAGCCAAACGGAGTCAGCGGACGTGAAGGGAAAAGGCCTCATTGTTTTCTCTTTCTTTCAGATCTTGTGAAACATGTGGTGAAGGAGTACAGAAACATCTACCCTGAGATCATGAAGAGAGCAGCACGAATCTTTGACCAGGTCCGTTCAGTCTCCGAGGAAACCTTTCATACTGAATAATCAAAGAAATGTACAAAGGTTTCTCTCTCCCACTTTCTCAATCAGGTATTCGGCCTTAAAATGATTGAAATTGACGCCAAAAATCACATGTACATACTCATCAATAAGTTGGAGACGGTTGAGGGAGCGTCGCCGATCACGTGAGTCTCGCTGCATATCTTTGAAATGACTGCATTGAAATGATATTTATTAAAACGGTTGTGTGTCCCTTGTGTGTGCAGCAACCCGACCAACCCAAAGATGGGTCTGCTGTTTGTCATCCTGAGTGTTATCTTCATGAAAGGAGGAGTTGTTGGAGAAAGTGAGTGAGATGTAGAGCTGCTCGATTAGGGCACAAATCACAGTCTCGATTATTTGGGTCAATAATTGTAAATGCGATTATTCATTGACTTTGAAAACATCCATTTATTGGAGAATTTGAACAGTATGTTTTTAACAGTTGATTACTCTGAACTTAAATTATAATTCAACTGAAAAACCAATAAAAAAAATTATATAATAAAAGAATAATCGTTTTATTTAGATTACGTTGTTTTCGTAATCGTTGCAAGCCATAATCGTAATCGCGATTCAAATCCGATGAATTGAGCAGCCCTAGTGAGATGCATTCATTACCAACTCGTATGAGTCCATTCTCCATGTTTTCCGTATTAATGTGCGAAAACCAGAATTTGGGAATAATTGTGTTTGTGTTTGTGCGTCAGACCTCGTCTGGAAGACGCTGAAGAACCTCAAAGTCGACGTCGGGTAAGATGAGTTCTCATTACCTCTGGATGTGTGATTTCTACACCTGAGTATTAATGACTGTTTGGATTCATTCTTAACTGATTGTGTGATTATTTGAAAACCGTCCCCAGAGAGAAACACGAGGAGTTTGGTGACGTAAAGAAGGTGGTCACTGACGAGTTTGTGCGTCAAAGGTAAGAACATGTTTCACCAGATCACTCGGTTTGCACGGCTAGTTAATTTGTTCTAGATTAAGCAATAACCTTTTGGTCTACACACTCCAGGTTTCTAAAAATCAGTCTGCTTCAACACACTCACACACTCACACACACACACACTCAAGGTCTTGGTTTGAGGTCACATCTGCTTACCAATGTAACCTGATTTCTCTGAGTAGCCTCCCTTCATCCAAGCATCGTTGTGGATCCCTGTACTCGGGTTCCTCTGCCCTAATTATTTATAAGGACTGGTTACCCGTGCATGTAAGCACTCTTGATTGTTCACCCCTCCTCCAACTCCTTAATGTGTGAAACCCCTCGTCTGTCTAAGCTAGGCTATAGCTCACTTCACTAATCCCCTGTGTCTGTGATCAGAAGGTCACAGGTTCAAGCCCCTGCTGATACCTCTGTATAAACTGTACTATATCTCTGTATAAACTGCACTGGTGTGATCAGAGCCAGAGTGTCTAAGACCATAGACTCTGGTTTATACCACACCACAGATCAACAGGAGAGTGGAGAACACTGGGCCACTTCAGAGTGCTCTGGTCCTGCACTGCTCCTGACATTATCATTATGTATTTCTGTCTAATGTTGCTAACCCTGAATGTTTCTCTGTCATTTACCATTCTAAATAAATACCACGTAGTGACTTTCTTATGCCGCTTTTTCACTGCATGGTTCGGCTTTGAACAATTACTCCTTGGTTCTCTATTTGCATACGTTTTGGATAGAACCAGGAACCTATTTTATTTGCATTTATAAATATTTCCCCACAGTCAAGTTTCAAAGCAAGCTAAGCTGATACTAGCAACAGTTAAAACAGCAGGGCAATTGTTTATTCAACTAAAACAAGTAAGCAGTTAAAAAACTAAATAGAAGCAAACACCTTTTGAGGGAAACCAAACCTAAACAATACTGCCTGCTTAAAACAACAATACAAAATGGATGCGTGCTCATTTCAGCGTTGAGTTCCTAGCTTTATGACTATGGGAGAAAAGGACACTGCATTAATATCTTTAAACACTGTGTGTGTGTGTGTGTGTGTGTGTGTGTGTGTGTGTGTGTGTGTGTGTGTGTGTGTGTGTGTGTGTGTGTGTGTGTGTGTGTGTGTGTGTGTGTGTGTGTGTGTGTGTGTGTGTGTGTGTGTGTGTGTGTGTGTGTGTGTGTGTGTGTGTGTGTGTGTGTGTGTGTGTGTGTGTGTGTGTGTGTGTGTGTGTGTGTGTGTGTGTGTGTGTGTGTGTGTGTGTGTGTGTGTGTGTGTGTGTGTGTGTGTGTGTGTGTGTGTGTGTGTGTGTGTGTGTGTGTGTGTGTGTGTGTGTGTGTGTGTGTGTGTGTGTGTGTGTGTGTGTGTGTGTGTGTGTGTGTGTGTGTGTGTGTGTGTGTGTGTGTGTGTGTGCAGGTACCTGGAGTATACACGGATCCCCCACACAGAGCCGATAGAGCACGAGTTTCATTGGGGTCAACGTGCTGAGGTGGAGGTTTCCAAATCAAAGATCCTGGTGTTCATGGGGGAGGTGCGTATCAGAGAGTGATCACAGCTGCCTCTATACTTGAACACTCTACTGTTGAGTCTTATCCTCACGGTGAGCTTGCCAGGCTTTGTGATGTTGCTGTGCCAGGACCAGTGTTGGGCAAGTTACTTCCAAAATGTAATACAGTATTTATTACTGTCTTTTTTAAGTAATGAGTTACATTACTTTTATATTACTTTTGAGTTACTTTCACCAAAATAACCGCAAAAGAATGGCTAGGTATTTAAAATGTAGTTTAGTGCAGCAACTGTGTAGTTTCTTAAGACTACTAACAACTTTTATTACACGGCTTAGTTGAATACTCGATTCTGATTGGTCAATTCCGTTGCTAAGGAGGATCATGAAAGAGAAAGAGAAAGTAAAAGAGGGAGCGCTGGACGTCAGATAAATGAACAGAAGAAGGCAGACAGGAAGTAAACACTCACAGGAACACGGTATGGGCTCTGCAGTGTTTAAGGACTTGTTAGTGGATCAGAAACTGAACAGAGTTGGACAGCGCTGCCGTAAAGTTGTTGTTGTCGCAGTTCCAGCCGTTGGTGCGCTGTGGAACGGAGTTTTCTTTTTTCTTAGCGGAAGAAATACGATCATTTTAAGTCAATAAAATCATTTCAATTACTAGTGGGAGTGGATTCCTTAGTTTGTTTAGTATCTGGCCGTGTGATAAGCGGGATAATGTGCAGCGACTTGGCCCTTCAGGCTCATCAAGATCAGCCTGACTGATGACGTAAACACCAGGCTGACTAATCTACCGGCACCATTTTTCTCTGGTGTCGGGATGTTAGTGAATTCTTAAAAAACAAAACACCATTTCATTTCGGGTTAAAATGAGAATTGTAACGTATATATATTTAAGTATCTTACCCACATTTCATTAGTAAAGCGTTACATTACTTCGTTACAGCAAAAAGTAATCCATTACTGTAACGCGTTACACTCAACACTGGCCAGGACAATAGTCAGAGATACAACCTTATTTAAATATAAAATGTTCTATTACACTCTAGAAGAAGCTTTAGAAGTGTTATGTTGGTATAATATTTGTTTTTCTTTTGCACTTTTGCTAGCTGTTTCCCGGTCTACACTCTGTGCTAAGCTAAGCTAGCTGTTTCCCTGTCTACACTCTGTGCTAAGCTAAGCTAGCTGTTTCCCTGTCTACACTCTGTGCTAAGCTAAGCTAGCTATTTCCCTGTCTACACTCTGTGCTAAGCTAAGCTAGCGGTTTCCCTGTCTACACTCTGTGCTAAGCTAAGCTAGCTATTTCCCTGTCTACACTCTGTGCTAAGCTAAGCTAGCTGTTTCCCTGTCTACACTCTGTGCTAAGCTAAGCTAGCTATTTCCCTGTCTACACTCTGTGCTAAGCTAAGCTAGCTATTTCCCTGTCTACACTCTGTGCTAAGCTAAGCTAGCTGTTTCCCTGTCTACACTCTGTGCTAAGCTAAGCTAGCTGTTTCCCTGTCTACACTCTGTGCTAAGCTAAGCTAGCTGTTTCCCTGTCTACACTCTGTGCTAAGCTAAGCTAGCTGTTTCCCTGTCTACACCATGGATGTATAATAAGAACTGGATACAGCGTGGGAGGCGGGGCCTCATTCATTCCTATGAGAGTTGCTCAATGGCGCATGAAGACAAAATGGCCCAACTTTTGAGAGAGCGAAACGTCACAGATTACCCAGCATGCCTGAGAAGTACCCGTATGTGCGCTCATAGCGCATGCGCAACTTTAACCACGCCGCCCAAAAGGCTCGTTCACATTAAGCACGTGAATTTGCGTACACGTAACAGCACCGCGCGTTCATGACAGCATGGTACTGGATTTATATTAACGAGGCGGCAGTTAGCAGCTAGCTAGTAAATTATGCTAAGTTACACATCAATCGTTATGTACTTTTATATTACGCTGACATCAGGATCTAGTGATATCCAAGCAACAGAGCTTCATTTAGTATGATACTTGTGTGGGTTGTACATGAAACCACTTGGTAATATATAAAAATGTATATGTTGAAGCCTGTTATGATCAATTGTGAGTTAAAACTTTTTCTAAAAAGTAAAGCTGATGATGGATTACTGTGGTGGAGTTAAAATAACAATTGCCTATTTCTTTTTGATAATAGTAGTAATGATAGTAGCTGTGATTATTCATGTTAAGTAGCCCACAAGTAACTAAAACAATTGCAAGTGCAATAAGAAGCTACAGGAACGTTAATCTACGTCGGTAATATTAACTTTATTTAATACAAGATTTACATCATACAGCCCATGTAGTATAATATTTTACAAATGATGAATTACAGCAAACATGTGCAATATATCCATTATTACAGCTCCGTGGGCTGGCAGTAAGGCGATATGGTCCGTTGTTATTGTGCATCCATGGGTAAAGATAAACGCATGTAGTAGTGCTGAACACGTAACTTGAACGTGCCGGGCGGCGCGGTCCCGTGGGTTAGATGCGCGTTCATAATGCCGAGGGAAATAACTCTCAGAATAACGTTATTAGCACATTTTTACAACTTGAGGAACGAATGTTTTTCATAAGGGCTATACAAGTGTTCATACTGGGTAGTTTATTTAGTTTTAAAAAAATTATCCAACGAGTTACAGACCACTCTTTCCCCATGTAAGTCAATGGGGAAAAGTGTTTCCCGGCCCAGCAACCTAAAGGAAGTGTAGTACCGCCGTTTGACCAGCACGAATATTCTCATCAGACTCCGGCGCACTTCCTGGGGGCTTGGTCTACACTCTGTGCTAAGCTAAGCTAGCTGTTTCCTTGACTTCACATTTGGTGCCCAGATGTGCGAGTGTTATCTCTCCTTTAACTCTCAGCAAGTCCGGCAGTGGCTCGGTCAGTAGGACTGTGAGCCGTAGGGTCGCCGGTTCAAGTCCCCGACTAGACCTAAATATGGAGTGTGGACTTCTACTTGGAGAGGTCCCAGTTCACCTCCTGCCCTGCCGTGGTGCCCTTGAGCAAGGCACCGGACACCCCCCTCACTCCCATTGTTCCCCGGGCGCTGTACAATAGCTGCCCACTGCTCCTAGTACTAGACTCCTGGTACAAGGATGGGTTAAATGCAGAGAACACATGTCACTGTGTGCTCTGTGTGCTCTGCATGTGTGACCATCAAAGAGGGTTTCATCCCTCCATATTCTATTCTATTCTAGAAAGTGAATGTGTTTAGTTATAATGTTGAACCACTTCACATTTATCTTTAAAGTATTATTTTGCATTGTCACCAAACAGCACAGTGAGCCCCTACTTCCTGTTTGCACCACTGTGTGTTCAACAGCTGCTTCCAAGTCGTTTCTCATGTACCTCTGAATGTGGAGATAACATGAAGTGGTTCAGATGGACATGAAGAGGTGATTTAAAGTTGGCTAACCAAGATGTGTTGTGTGATTTCAGCTCCATGAGCAGGACCCTCAGAGCTGGAGTCTGCAGTACCAAGAGGCTCACAGCTCCAGCTCCGCGCAGCCCAGCACCAGCAGCCAGAGATAACTTTTATAGTATTACCTTTTTCATTTGAAATGATGGTGCTGAAAGACAGAAGCTACATCTGTGCCACCATGTGTTTTGTATGCAGTTTTGCAAAGCCTTGGAGTCCGTTTAAACTCAGTCAAATCCAATCCTAGTTCTATTTAATATTTTATATATTTGTATGTTCATACGTTACCTTTGTAGGCTGTTGAGTTTCAATTTCATTTTTAAATAGGATCACACACAATATTCAGGTTTCCATTTTTGTTTTTATTGTCTGTACTTTGAAAAGGTACCAGTTATTTGTTCATGTTCAGAAAATAAAAGATTTTATGTTTGATCAATGATTGCATTATTTTGACTTTTCATTCATTTCCCTCACATACGCTCACGGCTGTACGACACGACGACGTGTAACTCTTCGACATCGCAGCTACATATTACAGAGCTCTGGACACACGGGCACAACAATGGACGATAAGAGCAGTTTGAAAAAGCTGTGACCTTTCCCCGAACAAAGCACACACGTACAGATTTGACATTGAATCTGCTACGAACTGAACATGGGTTTTAAATCCTAGATTTCTGACGAAGACACTTTTCACATTGTGTTGAAATAATACATGCATTTATTTACACTTTATTTCATGTGGTGGCATTTAAATAAAACCCCTGAGAAGATTGTATTTTCTATTGGTCCTCCAGGTGACAGAAATGAGCTCAAATCCGGAGGCCTGTATCACAGAGCTTACCGTTAGTTAGCTGGTTATGTTTAACGGCCTTCTATTCGGGGGCGGTGGTGGCGAAGTCCATAGGGACTTGGCTTGGCAACTGGAAGGTCACCAGTTCAAGTCCTGGCAAGACCAAGTGCTACTGAGGTGTCCCTGAGCAAGGCACCGTTCCCTACACTGCTCCCTGGGCGCTGTTCAAAATGGCAGCCCACTGCTCCTAACACTAGGATGGGGATTAATAAAGTATATCCAACTATTCTGCTCATCAGTATGTAGTGTCTCTACATGTCTCCATGCTTTAATGTTCAAAAAGCTCTTTATTTTCCTCATACTGCCTGTGCTGCTGCACCTCTTTTCACCCTCCGTCTGAAACCAGAGCCCAGTCTGCTCTGATTGGTTAGCTGGCCCAGTCTGTTGTGATTGGTCAACCGCTTAGAGATGTCCCGCCCCTTAACCTAATCACATAGAATTGTGTTGGAGCGCTAACCACTAGTATATTTAAATATATTTAACGTGCTTTGTGATACAGGCCGCCAGAACTTGAGCTAAGGTCCATGTAAACCAATTTAAAAACACTATATTGCACCAGAGTCCCTCATGTATCTTAATAAAATGACCAATGTCAGTTAAAAACAGCACACACACACTGTGCCTCTGCCTCCAGTGTGTGTGCAGTGAGGGTGCATAGAATACTCATGTTTAACTCATGTGAGGCACATCATGGTATTTGGGCAGTTAAAGTGCCAAATGTCCCTTTTAATTATATTAAACCAGAACACCGTGACACGAACACCACACCCTGGTTATAATTACCAGTGGGATCTGTACCTTTTGTGGATTTAGACAGGATACGAAATGACTCCGATAAACAAGCCACTCCTAGTTTAAGAAACAGTTTGGACTTGTTCACTTTCTTGCCAACAGTTAGTTGAGATGACGACACCCCTCTTATTTTTGTATGTTAAATATGAGGCTCGGCCAGCAGCATACAAATAAGGTTAACATGACGGTAAGGATACACAGCATTTAATTTGTGTCAATAAATGTGATACAATCTCCCTAATCACGGACTGAAACTGAATACTAATATTGAATACTATACTGTTGAGTCTATCCTCGCTGTGAGATTGGCTTTGTGATAACATTGTGCCAGGCCAAGAAATAGTGTGAGATATAACCTTATTTAAATATATAATTTACCATTTTTACACTTTGGTTTCTCATGATTCCCCTCACCAGATATAAGTGGTTAATCCTTAAGCTTGAGAAGGGTTGGCATATATTTATTTTTCACAGAGCCAGGCTAGCTGTTTTCCTGTCTACACTCTATGTGCTAAGCTAAGCTAACTGTTTCCTTGACTTCAGATTTAGTGCACAGATATGAGAGTGGTATATCTCCTTTAACTCTCAGCAAGAAAGTGAATACGTTAATTTATCAAAATGTTGAACTACTTCCACATATTTCTCTTTAAAGTATTATTTTACATTGTTACTAAACCCCTACTTCCTGTTTGCACCACTGTGTTTTAAAAGAACTGCTGCTTCCCAGTCGTTTGGATTCTCATATGATGTACCTCTGTGAGACACAAGATAACACGATGTGAAGTGGTCAGATCATGGACATGAAGAGGTGATTTAAAGTTTCCTGATGTATTATTACAAGTAGGGAGGAGGAAATGAGGGATGAAGAGAAGAAGACACAGACATGCATGTTCACGAATATCCAAACAGATCCTGGTCACCTGACCCGCAGTAGTTCACTTTCACAGTAAAGGAAGTCTCCTCTTCTTCAGGCCAGACGTCTGAGCCCTGCATTATAAAGTGCTTTACAATGGAAATAGGCTGCCATAGGAGAAATGTCTAATTTCATATGTCACAATGATTTTACATTTCACAACAATTACCCAGGTAACAATGAACACTAGTATCACTTAAATTAAAAAAGGCCACTTTCTATTAAGGTGGATGGAAATTAAACCAGTTCCCCCGTGTCGTCCTCTAGATGTGATTCGGGACCGTCTCCAAAGCCTCCGCCGGCTCTCTGTCCACGTCCACGTTCTGCAACAAGAGACAAGAAAGTTAACGATAACTTCATTACTTGAAATTAACCAAAGGGAGAAAACTAGTTTAAATGTATCACATTTGTACCAAGTATAGTGTTTGGGCACAAATTGGTTGATAAGCTTAAATCAGACCTGTGGACTGACTATTAGCACTAATGGCACATTTCCACTGCAGCGGGGTAGCCCGTTTAAGCGTCCCTAAGCGTCCTCGGGCTGCCTCGCTGGCCGTCCGAGGCCGTGGCGCATTCCCATTACAGTTTAGGACCTGGGGTAGCAACGCAGTGTAGGCGGGGTGATCGGCTTTGTTGTCCCGTCGAGCTCCCGCTGGATTTTATCATCCCCAATGAGATGTAGGAACGTCGTCACCTCCTCGGTCGACCACGGTGTGCTTTTTTTTGACGTTGCCATTTTTGTAGCTACTCCGTTTACAAAAATGCCGTGTATAAAAATGCTGCAAGCTTGCTTCTAGATATATGCGACACTAGGGATGATCTCGCGCGCGATCTTGTGACGATTCTCTCCGACCAATCAGCAGTCGAGAGTGTTGACGTCACTAGTTCAGCCCTGGCCTGATAGAACCACGATTTTATGGGGCCGAATAAAGAGGGAAAAAGTACCCGCTAGCCTGTGCTACGCTATATGGAAAGGCCACCAAAAACTGGCCTGGCCGCTTGAGGACGATTAAGGATGCTTAAACGGCGCTACCCGCTGCAGTGGCAATGCGCCATAATACATGTATTATCTTAATACATGTCCTAATTTATCAAGAAGTGTGATTATAGGGACAGTAACATTTTAAACCCTGGAAAACACATTACTGTGAAATCTCACTTAATGATCTAATATTACTGCAACTACTTACATTTTCATTATTGTTGAGTAATCTACCTGTCCCTCTAGTCTACACGTTTGTGAAAAACAAAGTACAAATAAATTACCACTGGTTTGTCTCTGTGTGTGTTGACAGCTTCAACGTTCAGAAAAACAGACTCCACTTTACAACCTGAGAGCAAAAGAGAGGGGGTCATTAAGGAGTTTATACGTCGTCGTTGTGAATGTGTGAGGAAATAATTGAGAGACTGACCGTAGGCGACAGGTGTGAGTTTGAGCACCGTGTGCAGAGGACACTTCAGGTAGGGCAGCTCGTCTGACACACAGGGAGAAACGACAGTTACATCTCTATAAAAATACAGTAGTATGAAATACATATACCCAAGTCTGTCTTTCTGTCTTTTTTGCTGTTAAGAAGTGGATTCATGACCACTTGGACGTTTGACAGGTGTACTAAGAGATACCTGAAACTATAAATATTTGATTGATAATTGTTCACATCACTACTCACGAGCAGTCTTGTTGAGGAAGTAGGCGAGCAGACATCTCATGACGGCCTGGTGACAGATGACCAGAACGTTCTCCTGCCGCTCCAGCTCCATGATGACCGGCTCCAGACGCTGCACCAGGTCCTCGTACGACTGACACACACACACACAGAGAGAGAGAGAGAGACATGTCAAACTGTCCACACAAAGTCAGTTAAACTCGACTGTGGTGCCAACACATAAACAGTTAGAACAGAAGATAAGTGTTGAAATAATTATCATTAGTCTATAGACAAAATTAGATGTTTGCAGGTTTTTACGTATTGCCTGTGAACATGAAGTAAACGTGTTTATTCGTATTCTATTTACTAGGATGTTTTGATATGTATGACTTCAAACTTTCTATCATACAAAAAACACATTTTAATAGTCAAACTATCGGTTAAGACAATCATCAAGTTAAACATGTATTTTAATTTTATTTAACCAGATAAAAGCGTTGAGGTAGAATCTCATTTTCAATGCTGACCTGGCCAAGAAGGCAGCAACGTTACACATAACACAAACATATAAAATACAGAGAACATAACTAAGACGAAAAGCAGTCACTACATTGAGCACATTAGGACAGTAAGAAAGGTATTACTTATTACTGCAAGAGCAGCTGGTGGTAAGGACCTCAGACAACTTCAATTTAAAACATGCTATTGAGACAAGTGCCGTCAGTTTGAGGCGTGATTGAAGGTCATTCCAAGACCAAGGACCATAATAGAAAAGACTCCTTTTTCCAGCCTCAACCCGCACAGCGTACCTGGACCCGTATCCAGGCACTGGATCTGAGGCTGTAAGAGTCACAAACTGGAGCAGATCTGGCACATATGTACAGTGGAAGCTTACCTAAAATGGCTTTATACATTAATAAAAACCAATGCTGCATCCTACGCATACTAAGTGAGGACCATCCAGTTAGGCTGTACAGTGTGCAATGATGAGTCCTATCGGGTGCATTTGATATATAACGCAGTGCAGCGTGGTAGAGTGGGTCAAGTTTGGCCAAAACAGTGGGACAGGCAAATCTATAAATGTATTTACTGGTTCCATATCTTCAACTCTTACCCTGTTTTTTGTTATTGTTTAATGAATATCTTTGAGTTTTGGAGGGTTTTTCACCAATTTAAATACTTATACGCATATTTTTGCTTTTCATTTAATCCTAAATGAATCGATTCCCTATATCGTGTCTCAATGAAATAGAAAAACTAAATTCTCCTTCAGATTTTGTCGTCCAATGTTTTGTCTTATCCTTTAGAACAGTCTCCTGTGATAATGAAGCCTCTTGTTTTGAACTCGTCCGCAGAGACTCCTGAGGGCATCACTAATTTGCACACCGTAGTCATGGTGATGAACACAACAAACATTTAATCATCAGGACTTCAAAGGCGGAACATGAGTTACAATCACACATATAGAACTACAACAAGGGTGCTGAAGGACAACATTCGTCCTTGTCTAGTTAATCAAACTCTCCATCCTCACCTCTCCTTTAGGGTAGCGGTAGCGGTACTTGTCTTGGTCCCTCAGTGCAAACTCCTCTGGGTAATGCTCCTGAATCTCCTCATACGTCATGTCCTCACACACACCCTGAGGCACAACACAGGAACAAATCACTTCATGTGGCAGTGGGGTGTTGTTCGAGCGATGGGGGTGGCTGGTTTAATGTGTGTGTGAGAGCAGAGTCTCTCACACACACATTAAACATAAAACACACACTTAACACATGTTCTCACCCCTTCATACTCAAACAAGGAGACAGTGTATACATGTTTGCAAAATGACACAAACTATGAACAAAAGAGTACATGCTGTGGACATTTAATACAAAAACATTCTTCTAACACATATCACTTGTGTCTTTTTTAACTGTCCTTAAGTGTACGTTTGTTTGTGGAGATTATTGTGCTGAACGAAACTTGGAAGTATCATTTGTGTACCCAAAAGTGTATTTCAGGCAGTCATCTAAAACCTAAAGGAGCTTTTGTCGATGGAACCAGTGCAATGCAAAATGACAAAGAAACTCACAGCGTCTATCTCGTTGAGGGCCTTCCACTGCTCGTACGGGACCCCCAGAGCCTCGGCGGTCTGGATGGTCCTCTTCATGTGACTCGTCCACACCTTCAGGTCGCTGATGCACTGACCGCGCATGTAGGTCCCCAGAGCGCTGGCAAACTGACGCACAGAGGACAGGCGTGACCAACAGGAAGTATCCATATCATATTCTATTTACATGTATATAGACTTTTTGGACTACTTTTTATTGTATTATATATGTTGGATTGTTGGAGGCTTGCGTTTGATTACGATGAAGCTCAGCTGTGTTCCAAGTTTGCCCGTAAGTCTTTAACAAATGTAAATTCATAGAGTCTAAATCCATCCACCATTTTGCAGGAGTTTCAAGCGTACGAACGGGAGCTCTTCTGTACCAACAGTGTGGAAAATGGTAAGTCTGATTAAAATACACAATATGTTAGAATTCATCAGCGACACTATGTTTTTAACCTCATTACTCTGTTGGAGGAGATCTGCCATTTCTACACTGTAGCTTTGTGCATCTGACAATAACACCGTTGAATCTTGAATGTAGTATCTATGACATATCGCAGATTATAGACGCCTAACCTTTGCCCCGCGAGGCGACAGCCCGGAGTCCCCCCCGATGCGCCCTGACAGGTTGAGCTCGCTCTCTCCGTGGCGGCTCAGGTAGATGGACCTCGGGGTGACGTGGATGTTCATGAGGTAATACACGATGCGGCTCTGGATGTGGTCCTGGACCCGGTTCACCAGGTACCGGCTGCCCACGTTGAAGATCTTGATGTAGGACAAGTTCCTGCGTAGAGATAAGATACTCTCAATGCTGTGACCAATGTTCCACTTCTTGTGAGGGGGGGGGGGGGGTTCTGTTTGTTTCTGCAATTTCCAGTTATAAGAAAACCAAAACCAGGAAATGTGAGAAATGGTTGTATTGTCTGTTAAATCTGCACTCCTTAATAAAGACATTAAAAAGACAAGATACTCTTTTTTACACACACCACACACACACACACACACACACACACACACACACACACACACACCACACACACACACACACACACACACACACACACACACACACACACACACACACACAAACACACACACCACACACACACACACACACACACACACACACACACACACACACACACACACACACACACACACACACACACACACACACACACACACACACACACACACACACACACACACACACACACACACACACACACACACTTTTTTTACGCTGCTATGGGCAATCTTGCACCAAAGATATTGATATTGAAGTGACTGTTATCTTGTATATATTGATTGTTGTGTTTTTGTATCTTAATGTGTGTAAATGTGTCTGTTGATTGTGTATAGGATATACATATTTATACATATCTGTATAATTTTACATTCGGGATTGTTGGAAACGTCATTTCGATCTCTGTCTGTAAACACAAACTGAGTAAGATGGACATTAAAGTTGACTTTGACTTCATTAGTCCAGAAACAGGGAGATGTGCAGTTACAGCACAACATTAAGAGGAGGTCTGCAAATAACATCATGACACAGAAGGACAGTACTCAACATGGCAGGTGTCGTTTTCTCTATATAATATCTGAGTCACAGGATATCATTTATTTTAGTGTGTTTTATTTATTGCCGAATGAGGTAACACACATTGTGATTGAGCCTATAGCCTACTAATGAATGTACTGCTATATGTATCTTTGCAGTATTACAAACTGAGTGTCTAGGGCAGGGGTGTCAAACTCAAGGCCCGGGGGCCACATCCGGCCCGCGACTTCATTTTCTGTGGCCCCACAAGAGCGTGCAAAGAATATAATATGTGTATTATACGGTTACATGCTACTTTACAGAAGCATGTTGCCCATAAACTACATGTCCCACAATGCATCTCAAATTAGACTTTTTTCTCAGAATTAGATTTTTTTTTCAAAATGTTATTTTTTATTTCAAAAATATTTTTTCTCCAGAACTGGCTTCTCTTTTTAAATCATTTTGTAACATTCTCACTGAAGAGACTTGCAATTATTTGCTCTAGACTTCTGCTTTCAGATGAGGTTAATTATGAAGTTATTACCCTATCTGATAATAATCTAATGCAGAGGAAATAATGTAATATGACACATTATTTTATATATATGATATATTTATATATGTATTTTTATATAGTCTTAAAGTTACAACCGGCCCTTTGAGTGCAACCATAATGCTGATGTGGCCCGCGATGAAATTGAGTTTGACCCCCCTGCTCTAGGGTGTCCTTCCCAGATAAAATGCTGTAGTATGTTTCTGTGAATGCAAGAAGAACACTCCTCCAGCTGCTGCAGCTGCACATTCACAGCAACGGGTGAAACACGAGTGGAATTATGAATGAGTCCCAGGAAGGGCCATGTGTTTGTCAGTCAACGTGACACTTGCCGCTATAGGTCATTAAAAGTGCATCTACAAAACAAGACATTGAACATTTTCTGACAGAGGATTAGTTTGACTTATTGAAGGGAGTCAAAGATAAGTAATGAGCAGGAAGAAGGAAGAGAATAAAGTCACTTCAACTCTATTTGCTGCTTTCAAAGTATGATACAAATATATTAGACTGAGACTCAAGACTGTAAGAGACTAAGGTATACTTGACCATACGGATATAAGGCATACAACTGTATTACACCGTATAACATTTCAACACCATGTACATCAGTCGCCCGTAACTCATCCGTTTGTCCTCTTGTCTAAATAGGCATCACTGTAATACAGTATTTAATTTAATCTTACTGTGCAATATTTAATTTTACATTCTGTTCTTGTATATATCATATTCTATTAACGTGTATATAGACTTTTTTTTAATAGTTGTATTTTATTATATAACTTTGTTGCATCGTTGGAAGCTCGGGTCGTAATATCTTTCATTTCCATTTCTTTACTGTCGACTCACTCAAGACAAAGAGCTCCACAACTTCCTCCAAATCCTCAACAATGTGAACAACTACTTACACCTGACGCACCGATGCCTCAGAATCAAATCCGGTCACTGTTACAGAACGACTGGAAAGGCCAAATAATGCCTGACTTCTTAAATGGACTGACTATAGTTCCTTTAGCTGCCCCTCTGCATTCTGGGACGTGATATTAAACCGTGTTTCTAAGATAAGCTGGTGATAAATAAACAATAACTGAAATACTATCCTATATACAGTATGTCTATGCTCTGTAGTATAAGTCTATATTCCTGCTACTGCAGTATTTTTGACTTTTTTTAGAACATTTTAATTATCCAGAATATTTATATCGTTTGTATTTGATATAATATTTTTCTTTTTCATTTCATTTTAATTGTTAATTCTCTATTCCACTTCTTAAGTATTGGTATGTTAATGTCTGAACATACTGCTGCTTCTGTAACTAAATCATTTCCCAAATTGGGATCAATAAAAGTATATAAATATATATATTTATCTATATAGGGACTTTAAATATGTCTAGTTCTATTCCATATTTTCCCAAGAAAACATCACTCCACTTTCTATACAGGACACACCTCTTCTAGCATCAGCACTGAATGTGGATGTGTTGAAGCAGACTGTGTTGTTGTTTGTGTCTCTGCAGATCTGAGGCCTGCACTACGAAGCCGGTTCAACCTAACCTGGATATGTTTGAGTTAGCCGGTTGGCCTAATCCAAAACATACGCTCTCTCGCTAAACTGTACTACGACGCTGGTTATCAAGTGGATCGCTCAAGCCAGCCGTGTCCTATCTAGTTAGGTGCGCGTTCACATGAAAGGGGTGGTATTTGGAGCATTCGACCAATCAGAAACATGGAGAAGTGCACTGACAGCGCAGCGTCATACTTCCTGAATGAAAAGTGAACTTTAATACTAGTCAAAAATGAAGAAGTTAAACTTTAAACATCCATGACTTAAACACTTGATCCAGGATAAAAGCCACATAGCTGCACCTGCAAGGTGAATACAGCTGGCAAAAGAAAAAGTGTTTGAATGCGTACATTAACAGGTTTATGATATCACGGCCCCGTCTAAGACACGATCTGACTTTAATTACATTTGACTCGAGTGTTTCGTCAACTTAATGTGTTGCTTAAAATAATACTTCTGCATACAGTATGTGACACTGTGAGTGTTGCACGGATACGGCTCAGCTGACTGAGATAAGGAGATATATGATACATTATGAAGTGATATGCCCTGACTGTACTTAATGTTACTCTGATCCGGTTACTTATGTTGTGGCAGATATTTAAGTAAGCTTTCTTAACGCTAATGTTATAATAGCCAGATTGCTCTGAAGATGGAGGTGATATTCTATTAATGTTCACGTTCACACAGTCGGTGATTTTTGCCGGTCGTCTATCCTGCAACGGCAGTTTTTCTGTATTTCCTTTCTCTTGTAATATGACTTGATCGCTTTAAACTCCGCACACTGAGCTCTGATTGGTCAGCAGGTGGTGCTTTCACTGAGTTGAGCTCTTAGCCTGCAACCTAACCTGGTCCCGACCAGGTTAGCCGCTAAACATAAGTTACCATGGAGATCTAGCCTGCTAAAAAGAGAACCAGCTTCGTAGGACCGGAAAGCCGGAGTTTTCCCTGAATTTAGCCGGCTAAGCGAAAATCCTGCTTCGTAGTATACCCCCCAGCTCACCTGTCCTTGTTGTCGTCCAGCGGGATGTAGGTCATCTTGTAACACTCGATCCTCTTCAGGAAGTCGGCCACAGCCTCCTCTTTGTCACAGTCTTTGTAGTCCGGACTGCTCAGCTTCACTTGCTGTTTGAGAGAGAGAGAGAGGAGAGAGAGAGAGAGAGAGAGAGAGAGAGAGAGAGAGAGAGAGAGAGAGAGAGAGAGAGAGAGAGAGAGAGACAGAGAGAGAGAGAGATATGGAAGTGTCTGACTGAAATATAAAATAATAGATATGTCCAACACAACCGGCCTCGTGCAAGATCATTTTTGTATCCAACATTTCAAAATGTCTTTCTTTCATCAGGTTTGGACTCAAAAGGCTTCCAGAAGAAAAACAAACAAAAAGGTTGAGTACAGAAGATGTACTAAATGACTCCAACATGCCACTTCAAGATGAATCTGTCCATCATGTGCTGCTTAAACAATGTCCATCATTAAAACAAATAATGACATGTAGCTGGTTGAGACTAAGAGCACGTACACACTGTTGTTTCCCACACTATTTGTGTGTATACAAAAAGTGTTTCCAAAACAATCTCCAGAGGGGCATCAATGTTGATCCTCTGGCTTGTTGTTTAAGTGATTTCCCGTAAACAGACACAAATGATAATGTAAGCTGCGCAGGGAGCGGTGTGCCAATAAAGTTAATAACGACTTCCTGTACGGGCTTTCTCTGAGAACGAGACTGAGCTAATACTCATTTAAGATGTCCATTTCGTCTGATTTAATTTAAGTGTATCTTAGAGCCATAAACCATGAATATGTGAACCGGCTGTCTGTCTCACGCCTCACCAGATGTTTCCTGTGATGCAGTGTTGTGGTTTCAAACTGGAAAGATGTTGTTTTCAAATGAAAAGGTTAGTTTTTCATAAATAATAAATCTTAAGTATAGTTGTTGTCTGAAGCATGCCAAGAGTGTAGGATAGAAATAGAAGCTAAAACATAATTTATCTGCAGCAACATTGATGTTTTACGTTTTTTAAATGACGATAATGAACCTCACACAGACTGATAACTGAACACTCATTCTAAAACTGAAATCAAACTAGGAGGAACAAAAGCATTAGAGATAGTAAGGCATTGATAACAGCAGGAGCAATGTTTCTCCACATGATCAAACCGTCTGCTGTGTGTCTGATCCAAAACCAGCCAATCAGAGACAGACGTGACCCGACTCAGTCTGACCGCTGCCGTCTGTCCCTCAAATAACAAATGAACACTGAGCTTTGGCTGAAAAATGGTCTTGGCTCGAGGCACGGCTCTCGCAGGGATCTTAGAAACACAACTTCCTGTTCACACACACACACACACACACACACACACACACACCATGTATACATCACTTCAGGGGACATTACATTCACTTACATGCATTTCCTGGAGACTTACCCTAACCTTAACCAGAACCAACACATGCCTAACCCTAACCCTTACCCTTAATCCTAAACAAGTCTTCACCCTAAAATTAATGATTCCCCTCATAGGGACCTCCATTTTGTCCCCATAAGGGAGGCGAGTCCCCACACGTGACTAAGTAAACAGATTTAGGTCCCCACAAGTATAGTAATGCTAGGCCACACACACACACACACACACACACACACACACACACACACACACACACACACACACACACACACACACACACACACACACACCACACACACACACACACACACGACACACACACACACACACACACACACATCACACACACACACACACACACACACACACACACACACACACACACACACACACACACACACACACACACACACACACACACACACACACACACACACACACACACACACACACACACACACACACACACACACACACACACACACACACATCACACACACACACACACACACACACACACACACACACACACACACACACACACACACACACACACACACACACACACACACACACACACACACACACACACACACACACACACACACACACACACACACACACACACACACACACACACACACACACACACACACACACACACACACACACACACAGTAGGGGTTTGACATTAAGTGATTGGATTGGCTGCCTGACCACTTTAATAATCAAAGTCTGGTCAAACCCTACATGTATCAGAATAATCTGTATAAAGCAAATTAACCCTTTTAAACATTGCAATATGTCTCACATAAACCTGGATCATTTCCACAAACAAATCACAAAACCACAAGTGCAACAAAAGCATATATTAAAAGAATGGCTAATTAATCGATAGCGTGTGTGAGTGTGTGTGTTAGGGCTGCACGATATATCGTGTTGTGACGATAATCGCGTTATGCGCATGCGCGATTTTTTTCTCCTTTTTAGGACGTGCGATATTAAGTAGGCAAATGAACTCAAGCACGTCATGTTACAATTATTTTGCTGCTTGCTACAAAAGGAAAAGTCGCGCGGCTCTCATGTCAGGGGTACTTGAGTGAGTGACATGCAGGCACAGCAAACAACCAATCACAATCATTCTTGATCAGATCGCAGCAGGATAACCGAGCTAGCTCAGCTTGTTGCTCTGAGAACTTAAGATCCAGAAGTCCGTGACTAAAATCCTTCATCCGGTTAAATATTGTTACAAAAATACATATTAGCATTAAAGTTCAAGAAAGGATGGTTTGCAGACAAAAAAAACGGTCTTTTCTTCAATTCCTGTATTTTTTCATATCGCAATATGCAGGGGAAGAAAATATCGCGATGTCAGTTTTTTCCAATATGGTGCAGCCCTAGTGTGAATGAAGCAGTTCCAGCAAGAAAAACAGTCCCAAACGTATAATCCAAAATACATGCTCTCCAAGTACCAACTAAAAGGAATACACTCTCAAATAAACATTCACATTTCACTCACTTTAATATTCTGAGCGATGATTTCTAGGTCGTCACATATTGACTCCACAAAGAAGACCTGGGCAGGTTGGAGGAAAGAAAGAGAGATTGGTCAATCCCTGTATTTTTTCTAAGGTTTCTATTATTAAGATAGAACACAATAACTCACCTTGTAACCGTTCTCCTCAGCGAAGCCGAGGATGACCTCTCTGCGCTCCAGCGTCGTGTTGGTGGCATCAAAAACCTTAAAGACGAACGAGATTAGAGAGTGATTCTTATTGGACTAACTATTTAATGTTACAGCAATGGTTGAACCTCACAAATTGTACAACGGTGCTTGTATTGCCCCAACATGACTATAGGACATTTTAATTCCATGCCAAAATAATAATTATCCATGATATTGTCCTAAGAGACGTACAACTCTTAATATGGCACATGCTGGAACTTCTTCACATTGAATTTAGTCAGGAAACAAATGTTGCTTGTGTTAGAGTTTGGATACATCCTACTTTAGTGAAAAAACAAAACAAATGTTAATAAGGTAATCATAAATCATACGGTTCCCTGCATAAAGAATACAAAATAGCAACTTCATGGGAGTCTGATGTAACGGCCCGTCCACACTACAGCTTCAAAAAAAGCTTGGAGCTGGGCGTGTCTGAAGCTCGACCAACAACCAATCACATGAATCTCCCGCCCCTGACACACAAGCAGCGGTTTGATTGGCTAGAGCTTGTACTGGCATATGATTTGATTGGCTGACGCTTCCACCGAAAGCTTCAGAAGCTTCAAAAGTTGAACATTGCTCAACTTTTGCAGCCTGAAACGCCAGGAAAGCTCCGCTCTGCTTCCCACAATGCAGTTCGGCGAAAAGTGACGTCACCCCATTCAAAGTGAATGGGCCGACGCGTTGGAAACCGTTTTTGAAGCTGTAGTGTGGACGGGCCGTAAGAGTTCATATATTTTTTTTAATCCAGCTCTATTTCTCACTTCTTTTTCATCACTATTTTTGATATTATATGATTAATATTTTATATAATACTCTTATTTATTTCAACGTCACTGTTTACTGTTCATTCGCATACAGAGTTATCGTCGCTTTAAGGATTAAAAGTTATTGAAGGTGTATTTCTCTCACCACGACCTGCCCCAGCTCTCTGGTGAAGTAATCACAGACGTCTTTCAGAGCAGCGATGGCACAGGACCTGGGATCGGATAGAAATAGAAAAAAACATTAATAATGCAAAGTCTGATCTAGAATGTCATACATAATGAAATGTTTTATACTCAAGGAGATGGGACATGTGAAGCGGCACAGTGTCGGAAGAGGAAGGTTCATACTTGCGTATCTTCATGGCCTCCTCGTTGTCCGGTCTGAAGAACTCGAAGCTGTTGTAGGAGCGCGTCGCATCTCTTCTGTACTGACCCACATTAAACACTGAGAGAGAATTAAAGAGATGGGTATTTGTCAAAACACACGTAGGTTACTGTGCAAGACAACCAGAGATATACCAAACAATAACTGGAGGCTAGAAGTCAGAGTTTATGTTGACATAAATCTAAATGTATATCAAATCAAGAGAACTTAGGAAAAATTACGACAACCTTTAAAACATTGTACCAAAGAAATTCCACTTGTCCCTGACCGTGTTAATATTCAAGCACTATACCGTGTCTATAATAGCTAACATTAATACAAAATAAAACAAACAATAAAAATAAAGACAGATAAAAGCATCACAAATACATGTATAGGCTTAACTAGCCAGCCCAGTATGTCATTGTTGTTGTTGATGTTTAGTTATGAGACATTTTGCACATTCTTGTCGTGACCCCAACATATTTAACACTAGAACCGCCAACGGGTCAATTTTACCCGCAGCTGTTTTTTGATTGTAACTCTTTTTCAATAAAATATTAAAGTCTCCCAGTCCGTGACTTTTCCGGAAAGTGTGTTATGTAGCACCCTCTGTTGTTAAAATGGTCAATATGAAGTCAGATTGAACAAAATGCCAACAAAAATGCCATTTATACCCATATCCGCCAGCGGGTCATATTTAGCTCATAGAAAATGCAGCGTAAACATGACGTGTTGCTATAGCAACGCCTTTTGTCTACTGTGGTTCCATATAGATAGAGAGATAGATTGAGAGAGAGAGAGAGAGAGAGAGAGATAGATTGATAGAGAGAGATAGAGAGATAGAGAGAGAGAGAGAGAGAGATAGATAGAGAGAGAGATAGATAGATAGAGAGATAGATAGAGAGAGAGATAGATAGATAGAGAGATAGAGAGATAGATAGAGAGATAGATTGAGAGAGAGAGAGAGAGAGAGATAGATAGATAGATAGATTGATAGAGAGATAGATAGAGAGATAGATTGAGAGAGAGAGAGAGAGAGAGATAGATAGATAGATAGATTGATAGAGAGATAGATAGAGAGATAGATTGAGAGAGAGAGAGAGAGAGAGAGATAGAGAGATAGATAGATTGATAGAGAGATAGATAGATTGATAGAGAGAGATAGATAGATAGATTGATAGAGAGAGAGATAGAGAGATAGATAGACAGAGAGACAGAGAGAGAGATAGATAGATAGACAGAGAGAGATAGATAGACAGAGAGACAGAGAGAGAGAGAGAGAGATACTTTGCCCATAACTCACGGTAGCGATATTTTATACTTCATGCTATCTGCACAAACTATATAATATGAAAAGCTGAGAGTCCACAGATTCTATTGGTATAGGTTTCCTCCCTGTGCGATCAACCCTCACTGTTCTGTATGATAAATAAACGAACATTGTACCTTGAAAATCAATAGCGGGTAAATTTGACCCGTTGGCGGTTTTAGGTTTACAGCGACCTCTGACGGTTCTAGTGTTAAAGAGGCCCTACTATGCTCTTTGTTTTCTTTGTCTTTCCTGTAGTGTGTTATATAGGTTTTGGTGCATGTAAATGGTCTGCAAAGGCTACAATCCCAATGTTTCCTCCAGAGGGAGTTTCAGACAGAGGGTGAGAAGAGTTGAGTGTAAAATAAAAACATTTGAATGTGTTTTGCATAAATAAACCGGTACATTTCTGTCACTTATTGACAGTTCGGCTGCCCAGAATCTCTCGTTAAAGATTAAATAATGCACGATAAAAGATGTTTATATGTTGAGTGTGATCACATGATGGTGTTAGATAGTGAGTGTGAGTTTCAGAGTAAACTCGTCATGTGATACCTTTCGTTGTAACTCCGATCCAGTTCAGGTATCTGGTCAGTTTTTTAGAGATGTAGGTCTTTCCTCTGGCCGGGAGTCCCACCATCACTATCATGGTGGGGGAGTTGGTGAACTGAGGCACCGAGGCTGACACACACACACACACACACACACACACACACACACACACACACACACACACACACACACACACACACACACACACACACACACACACACACACATCACACACACACACACACACACACACACACACACACACACACACACACACACACACACACACACACACACACACACACACACACACACACACACACACACACACACACACACACACACACACACACGTTGATTTACACTGAGGTTTTTCAAAACCACCAACTTGGGATGAATAACCTGCTGCATACGATGTCAAATAGAAGTCTTAGGAGTTGTGTTCAAGGCCAAATATATCGATACTACTTTTTCTATCCGTGACATCCAGCAGCTGGTTAGCTTAGCACAAACACTGGTAGCAGAGGAACACTCCTGGCCAGCAAAGAGGAGTTAGCAATGATGATTTTAAACACTAAATAAAAAAAGTTTGAGCACCAAAAAGACGAGGTTGATGAGTCCAGTAGTATGCGAGATACACAATACGCAACAAACGGTCCCATGAGACCTTTTACTGCAAATTACTTTTTGTTGCCAATACTTGTAATCAAGTATTTCTACTCACGAAGCTGATTTGAGTACATGTTCCACCACAGTTTATGATAAATATTAGTGAAAGCATTATCATAGTCCATCATCTGGCACAGAGAGTGTCATTTCATGTAATCGTTTATTTGAACCGGGACATTGATGAACACTTTAAAACTAAATAATGCTTTCAAATGTAAATGAGCCGGATTTGAGCTTTGAGCTCATTTCCATCCGTAGTCCCGTCACATACAACATATAAGAACATGACATTTATATACATAGCAAAAATAAATACATGACATGCAGGAAGACCATGAACAGCATGAGCATTTACCACATGGCAGTACACTGTAGCAGCTACGATATATAAAGTGCACGATAAGATACAAGAACTACCTAAAGTGCAGAGGAGATGCCCCTGTGTTAAAGTGCATTTAGCGGTGATCGCATGTCTGTTTGTTTCTCAACCATTCTTTGAGTTGACCTTTAAAGCTATTGAGAGTGGGACAATCCTGTGTCTCAGCTGGGAGGCTATTCCACAAAGAGCTGCCTTTAATGGAGAGGACATTTTGTCCAAAAGTGGTCCGTCTGCGGTGGACCTCACAGTCTCCTCTGGTTTCTGACCTAGTGCAGCGTCCCTAAGGGGGGAGGGGGGGGGGCAGTCCATGTAAACATTTATAAAAACACACATACTTTTAGAAGACTTTAAATTGTCAAAACTCAAGAAATTATGTTTCTTAAGGATGGTGCAGTGGTGGTATGAACTTGGCTTTCTGTCAGACACCTTGATAGCTCTCTTGTACAGATGTTCTGTGGGTTTCAGGTTTGTGGCTCAAGCAAACGACCAGTTTGTCAAACAGTGTTCAATGTGGGATAGAATCATACAGTGGAGGTGTGACTTTGCAGCATTGACAGTTAAGAAAGGTCTAATTTGTTTAAAATGTAGCAAGTTGAATTTAACGGTATTGGATACTTTCTTAATATGTTTCTTAAAAGTCAAGTTCGAGTCCAGTATGACTCCCAGATACTTGAAGTGGGAGACTAGTTCTATTTCTGCTCCGTTTAAAAACACGTTGGATCCTTCGAATTTGACTGGTCGTTTACTGAACATCATGCATACTGTTTTTGTTGCATTTAACTGTAAGCAAATGTTGTTCAGCCAGTGTTGAACTTCGTCCAATGCATTTGAGAGACAGGATGAGATCATCTCAGTGTTTTTCCCGTGTACAAAGATGACCGCATCATCGGCATAATTATGTGAAAGTGTGGGATATCATCATCACATTAGTTGGCAGAAAGAAGTGTAATCGTGCTCTCATGGTGAACTTTTGGGGTGAACGTCCCTCCGGTCTCTCCCAGAGCGACGCTGTGGAGAAGTCCTCTCAACTCAACAAAAAAACGAAACTCTCACAATGCTGTTAAAACGCTCTGACACAATAATGCACAGGAATCAACTTGTCAAACTGTGAGACAAAACCGCAAACAATGCGGTTTCCATGTGTGTGGGTGTCATATGGTGTGTGTGTGTGTGTGTGTGTGTGTGTGTGTGTACTCACAGCCTCTGCGTTGGCTCAGCCTGCTTTTCATCCATGGCCCCCAGGTCTTCTCCAGAGGATTTTGAGTGAGTTTTTTTGACATGACTTTAACAAGTGAGTGTGTGTGTGTGTATTAAACCTCTCCTTCTGTATGTGTGTGTATGTGTGCGTATGTGTGTGACAGGAGGGCCAGATAAAAAGGAGCGCTTCAGGTGAGCACACAGATTTTGAACTCTTTACCACGATGTCGGTATGGGAGGAGTTTGAGAGTCAGCAGACATGATTGAGCACCTCTGATTGGTTGTTTAACCTGTCAATCACTTTAACTGAGCCATTAATGCCCAGAACAAACTCATCCACCAATCACAAAGGGCAACTGTAGACTTTGGTTCAGCAAACAGGAACTGAGGACACCCTGGTAAAAACCATGCTGAGCAGCTCCTTTATGAATCTGTCAGATGAAGTCAGTGGTGAAATAAAGAGTCACTATGCTTTTAGGAGTTTCCCTTTCCTGTAGTTTGTTATATAGGTTTTAGTGCATGTAAAAGGTCTGTAAAGGCTAAAATCCCAAAGTTCCCTCCAGAGGGAGTTTCTCTCTGACACATAGTGACATCACTATGTAGCACTCACGCTGCTATTGGCTAGTGCTCCAACACATTGTACGTGATAGGCTAGGGGGCGGGACATCTCTAAACTGTTGACCAATCATAACAGAGCCGGCCAGCTAACCAATCAGAGCAGACTGGGCTCTGGTTTCAGACAGAGGGTGAAAAGAGGTGCTGCAGCACAGGCAGTGAGATAAAGAAAGAGCTTTCTGAACATTAAAGAGACATGTCACAAGATATATGATGCTGAAAATGGGCACAACAGGGCCCCTTTAATCTTAATATACCCAGCTGACAGAGAGTCAGACCCGGTGTAAATGTAGGGGTGGGAAAGGAACCAAGTTGGCAAGTCCCTTCAGGCCTGGATTAAAAACAAATCATTATGAACGCAAACAAAGAAGTAGGCTACAAACAGCTAAAAAGTAACACATCACAGATTTTTCTCTTTTTTTGTCAGAGCATTCAGCAATCAATTAATCCCTCAATGACTTTGGGTTCATCTCAGCCTGGGCTTCATACTTACATGTTTTTATATAAAAAAATAACATAAAAACAACTGACATTTAGGAGGCGTGTTACAATATTTAGTAGCCTACAAAGTAGGGTGTGTGTGTGTGTGTGTGTGTGTGTGTGTGTGTGTGTGTGTGTTTGTGTTTGTGTTTGTTTGTTTGTAGCCTTTATTTAACCAGGTGAAGCCCCTTGAGATCAAAATATCTCTTTTTCAAGGGTGACCTGCAGGACATTAGTTACACATGTAACATAAAAACAACAGAACAGCAATAAGGATGACATACAACATAATGTACAGGGTACAGTTTACAAACTCTATTCACAGAGACAGGTACCATGAGTATCAAACATCATGTCACCCAGCCGAGTTTTAAAATGATGCAGGGGAACCAAAGTGCTCAGTTTTAAACATGTTTGCAGACTGTTCCAATTTAGTGGAGCTGCACAACTAAAAGCTTTCTTCCCTAAGACAGTCCTAGCACTTGGCACATTTAATAAAACAACATCATGAGATCTCAGGCAATATGTACTTTCAATTCGTCGAGAGATCAGAGAGCAGATATAAAAAGGTAGTTTACCCAACATGGCTTTGTAAATGAACATGTACCAATGACTGAGCCTCCGTACAGTTAGTGAAGGCAGACCTGCCTTGGCATATAGGGTACAGTGGTGAGTAAGTGCTTTATAGTTAGTAACAAATCTCAGGGCACTGTGATAGGCGGCATCTAATTTTTCCAGGCAATGGGCAGGTGCATTCATATAGATCAGATCACCATAGTCCAGCACAGGTAAAAAGGTCACAGTGTGTGTGTGTGTGTGTGTGTGTGTGTGTGTGTGTGTGTGTGTGTGTGTGTGTGTGTGTGTGTGTGTGTGTGTGTGTGTGCGAGAGAGAGACCGCAGGTAACTGATCGGTGTGCTCGTGCAGCCAGTTCAGCTCTCACCTGTGCTGTGACACCGCACGCGCCGCCCCTGTGTCCATCTCTTCCTGAACTCCATGTGTTTCTTCACGCAGAAACTCAAACAAACACGTGGATCTCTCCCCTCGTTGCACAACTCCCCCCTATCCCAAAATAAATGCCTGAACCCCCCCTCAGTGCAGCCATGCGTCCGTTAGCGTGAAGCTGTCCCCGGACTACTTCCTGTCCGGCGCGGAGGACAGCCCGACACCTCCGCGCCGCACCACGTCCTCTCCGGGCGGCACATGATGTCCTGTATGTCAGGCAGCTCAGCTCACACACACTTACATAATGCTGCACAGTGAACCATGATGATGAGGGTTTCATGTTTCCTTGTCAAGCCAGCGGGGGTGCGAGGGGGTTTCATATCATGTGGCTGTGCTCGTGGATCAATGACAGTGATCAACAGTTTGCGTGATGGCGTCGCGCATGCGCACACTGTCCTTCTCTCCCACGCTGATACACAAATAAAGTGTGCGTGTGTTATATGTTATTCTACATTTGAGAAACGATGTATTGTTTTGAGTGTCTGTTGACTGTTATATGTGTATTAAAATAAATGTAGTTATTGCACTAGAATGAATGTAATAATTGTAACTGATACATTACATTTATTTTAGCCCAATAACAAATGTAATCACTGCACTAAAATACATGTTATGAATGCATTAATGGAGTTATTCCACTACAATTCGTGTTATAAATCAACTACAATAAACGTAATAATTGCACTAGAATGTATGCTAGTTACAGCACTAGATTACATGTTTTTTGGCAATAAAATGAGGGAATGCCTAGGGACTGCAAGTTAGCTAGTAGCTATTGGGACATCATTTGTTTCTCCTTTTTGTTTTGTGTGCATGGTCCTTAAATACATGTATATAATGTATATAATACATACATAATGTGTGTAGCTGATTGCATAACCAAGTTGCTCGTTTGACATGGATATGCGACCCTGTCAGCAGTGTGTGTGTGTGTGTGTGTGTGTGTGTGTGTGTGTGTGTGTGTGTGTGTGTGTGTCGCTATCACTCACCGTGCGGACGCTGGAAGCGGAGCGCCCTCATCGCGCCCCCCTGCGGCTCCGTCCCGTTTTGCGTAATCATCGCTCCGTTCATCCTCCAAATCTATTCCAGGCGGAATGTGTTATGCTATATTATGTTATTATATGTGTGTGTGTGCGTGTGTGCATGTGTTATTGGGTAGATGTGTGTGTCGCTGCCTCCGCCCAGACGCCGTGTGATGGCGGGTTGATGCGTGCAAGTTGCAGCCTGCTAAGTCCTTAAAATGTTTGTCCTCGTCCTCAGTGTGTTCCCTCTGGTTTAGCAGTTCTCCTGAAACACACACACGCGCACGCACGTGCACACACGCGCACGCACGCACGCACACACACCGTCTGCGTCAGGAACTAGTCCTCCAGGTTTAACTCCTTGTTACTCCTCCTTTAGGTAATAACCCATCCAACTTGTGATTGTGCAAATACATATTCCCATCATCCACCACGCCTCTGTGTACTTCCTGCAGGGAGCTCTGATGCTGCAAACGGCTCCTCTGTCTCTCTCTCTGTGTGTGTGTGTGTGTGTGTGTGTGTGTGTGTGTGTGTGTGTGTGTGTGTGTGTGTGTGTGTGTGTGTGTGTGTGTGTGTGTGTGTGTGTGTGTGTCATAGCACACATTATTTCTGTCATGTTCAGGTTGTATAACGTTTAGGATGCATTGACAGCGTCACAGAAAAACTTAAAGGGGCACTCCTACTATTTTACAATTGGGTTAAACGTTATTTACCAAACTTCTCCACCAGGGATTAATATAGTACTCTGATTCTGAAATGTGGACAACCATAGTGCAGTTTCAGATTGTGATTTGAGGATAAAAAGTTATATCTCAAACATTTGGTTTCACCCTGGGATGTTGTCTATAAAATGTGTGTGTTTATGATAGACTGTGGAGAAAGTTAACCTTAATGTTTTGGTTTCAAGACCCTGGTTCGCGGAGGATATCAAAAAAGTCCTAGAAAGAGAAGGTAAATGTAACTATGTGCATTTAAAAATAAAAAAGAGGAATAGTTTTGGCGAAAACTAAAAGGTACCATGGGGTTAGATTATCCAAAGGGGGGTTCGTTCAGATGTGTGTCGCCATCTTGTAGGGATATGTTCTTATCACAGTGACCTTAGGAGGCTGCAGGCTGAAACACTGCTGCGTTTATCTGCCAGCATCCAGACTTGTGTTTTTTTTTTTTTTTAATGTTCACGGTCCGACCTCGTAACATTTACCTCTAGAGTTTTGCGTCAGACATATCTTGTAGAAACAGAAGATGAGTTATGAAAGAGCCCAACGAGTTTATACGGTCACATTTGATCAGATCTGCAGGAAGATATTTTTAGACGTGTGTGAGAGAGACAGTTTCCTGTTCCACTGCATTCCCTCTTCTTCAGACGCTTTATCTCTCTCTCATATTAAACAGTGACAGTAAGTCCATCAAGTATAATCTTGATGTACATGTCCTTTACTTAAATATTGCCATTTTATACCGTTCCACTTCACTATAGTTTATATCATTGCATTTGACTGTTTTAGTAACATTTCATAATAAGATTCAACATTCAAAAACACATATTAAACTACCCTAAACTGAACTCTAAGTCCAAACTCTTTTGTGGCTGCAAATGTGTTGGTTGTGTGAACACAATACATTGGATGTGAAGAGGAATATAGGACACCCTCAAATTGGGACCAATCTGCTGGTTTGATGACCTCCACCTACTGTAGGTTATACAATCACTATGGATCTAAACTCTTACAACACCTACTTCAAAAACTCAGTATTATCTCTGATAACAGAGACCCTCATTCCAAGGGTCTAAAACTTAAACTGGTTCCCAAAGACATTGACATTTACACTTACACTTACACTTACACCTACACTTACACACACACACACACACACACACACACACACACACACACACACACACACACACACACACACACACACACACACACACACACACACAAAGAAGAGAAGCATCTGTTTTGTTCAGGATATGCGTAGTCCATGTTTATTTATTAGTTGACTGGGGTTAGTTTGTCAGATACAGTACAGCGCACAATGCAACAAGCAGGTACAACATCAGCACACTTTAATATTGCAATACACCCCCCCACCCCACCTGTTAATGTGTGTGTATTTGAACCACCGCCACACACACACACACACTCCCTCCCGTGTCCAGTGTAATCCTGTCCCTGCTGGATCCTGTGATACTGATTAATTCATTGCTCAACATTGTTGTTGTTGTTATCTATAGCAGTATTGTTATTATTTATACCTACATTTTTTTGTCTTTTTTTATATATTTTTCTAGTTTTTATGTTGTATTTTTCCCCCAAGGTGTTTATATGTATAAAAGAAGGCTTCGACAGAGACAGCATCAGGAGCAGAGAGACAGGCAGGAGGCGGGTCCAGACGTTCTACAAGGCAACATGTCCAGACTGGGTTATTACACTGAGATGAATGGAGGAGGTTATTGGTCATTTGGCATTTTGTTTCACAGGTTGGTTTAACACAAACAGGAAATGGAAAGGTAAACATCCTGTCCAATCATTGTGGTGATGGGACCCCAACATGAAGAGTGTGTCACCACTAAGTCGGCTACATTTGTAAACTCCTTTTTAATCCTCCATGCAGTGCTTTTCTCGCCCGAAATCGCTTTGTGGTTTTCATTTTAAAAGCCCAAATGCTCAGATACGCTGCACAGTTGGCTGTGATTTAATAACGTTTTGATTGAGACAGAAACATTAGAATTGATAAACAAGCAGAGCCTTATCATGAATTTGGCTGAGTTACAAACACTTCGCTTTTTAACTGCCGACAATTCAGAAGGTTTTTCTCAGCAAGTTCAATGAATGTCTACTAACAGGTATGTGTGTGTACAAGCTGGAGATATTCCTTATTGTTCCATAGAGCTCCATTGTTGTCTACAAATATTAAAACCACATAACTGAGCCTCATTGTGCCATAGGGTGAGATGTTCCTTAATTACCGTGAACACACACTGCAGTTGAGTCAATACCACACACACACCGTCCTGCTCCCACAATGAATCACGAGAGCACCGAATGTGGATTAATCCGCCACTGAAAATAGTCCCCAACAAATGCACTATTTAGGAAATTGCTGAAGTTTTAGACGAAGAAACGATATATTTGTTTTTGCAAATTTAAATGATTCCTTTTATGGAATTACACACACATTGAAAGCTGAGTATTTGTGTCTTTAAACATGACTGGAGGAACCAAAGAGATACAGCTGAAAGCCACTGACAGGAAGTATTGAGACGGACATATACATTGTTGGTTTTGGATGAGATTCTTTGACAGAAATATAAACAGAAAAGAATAAGTGTGTGAATGAACCCATCGGTGCCTCCTGTCATTCTCTGCTCCACAAACATTCAAAACAAACTTCTGCTCTGGGTCCAAAATCACACGAGAACTTCCTGCCTGGTAATCCTGCATCTTTCAGATTAAGTTTATCTTGCAAAGCGGAGCCACAAAAATAAACCCTCTTAGTATTGAGACTGATCCGTCCTCATTAAACAGCACTGCCATGGCGACGTGGATAAATGCTAACATTTAGGACTTTTAATAATGAATATTATCTGCTGCATCTCTAAGCGCTATAAAGAAACGGATTCTAGGTTCCTCTAAATGTCTCTGGACTACTAACTGTGACACAAGAGGAAAACATAATGCTGGGGGGGGGGGTTATGATACAAAACCAAACAGAGCAACAGATAATTAAAAAAAACAATTACAATTTGATCTTCTTATAAAAGAAGCATTGGAAATAAAAAAATGACATTCTCAAGGTTGTATTTACATTCAGAGAACCATACGTCAGATTCTCTTCCTCCTCCTCCTCCTCCTCCTCTCTGCTTCAGAGGGTCCCTTACGGTTTTGCTACAGAGGACCGGCCCTGCATGTGGTTTTCATTGTCCTCCACTTTATGCATGCATCAGTGTGTGTGTGTGTGTGTGTGTGTGTGTGTGTGTGCGTTTCTCTCTGTAATCACATTCTACGGTGGCCCTGACAATTTATACATTATAATAACTGATATTGATCAGTTTTTATTTTTGTACATAACTTTTCCCCCTGAATATTAACCCCCTTCCTCAGCGCCGTAAACTATTGTAATGTTATTTTTCTAACCCCAAATGGACCTTTAAAGCCGTTCAGTTTTAAGCTCATTTCCATGAATGTAATGAAACAGTTTTGGTCTCCTCTTTGCGTGCGTCTTTATGTGTTTGCAGGTCTATGATCCTTCAGGGCCACCGTAGAAACTTGGTCCTGCATTTCACCTGCTGATCAAACAGGAGGGTGATGGGTGTGTGTGTGTGTGTGTGTGTGTGTGTGTGTGTGAGGGAAAATGGATGATTGACAGACGGATAGACAGAAAGGAGGAGAGGACGCTCAACTGGACTCTCTTAAGGCAACAGATCTCCCATCACTGCAGGTAAAAGCAGGGATGGTGAGCAAACACACACTCACACACACTCACACACAGTAACAGTCAGTCATAAAACTCATACGCTAAATATCAAGTTATGAAAAGCCTCGGCGAGGGGCGTGCATCTTAGGTTTGGGAGGCGCTCTGACATCAATAAATAGAAAGCGCTTCCCCAGACGCATGCACAGAAACACAAATATAAAAACAGCACGAAGACACGGAGCGGTGACGGTTGACGAGGACGTACACAAAACTCAAAGTGGTGGTGTTTATATAAAAACGATGAATATGACTTTGAATGTGTTAATGAAATGGAATACATGTTTGTACAAGATGGATGACATTTTGGTCAGACGAGATGAGATTTCCCTTTTCTTTGAGCCACTCTTCATCACAACAGCCTTCCTCTTCCTCTCCTGCAGCGTTGCACCGGCTGTTTGGAACTTTTATTTTGAAGAAATTGACATTTTGGGATACAGTTTTTCCGTAATTTTAAGGTTGCGTTTAATTAATTAAACTGTAATGGCGTTGTTGTCTACCAGAAGCTTTCATAAATATACTTTTGATCCAGATTCAAGACACATTCTTTAAGATATTGGTCTGTTTTTCGTTTGAATAAAGGTCTTATTATTGGATGTCTGGGGGTTGAGCTATTGGAGATATAAGCTAAACAATTGTTCAAAACAGCCACATTTGAATTGTCTTGTGACTTGTTTTTATCAGGCGAATTGTTACTAATGTTATGTAGCCCCCCTAATAGACTATTCAACGCCTATGTTTGATAAACAGCTGGTGCAACTGTCTGCAATCCTCGTTCTATCTTTCTGGAGTGAAGAGCTTTCTGATTGGAAGTGTTTGCTCGTAGTGGTGAGTGTGTTTCTGTGTGTGTGTGAGTTAGTGTGTGTGTGTGTGTGTGTGTGTGTGTGTGTAAACTTGGAGTAGAAAAGGCGAGACATCCTGTAAACAGCTGCACTGCATAAACCTGTGGAATGTATTGAGACGGTGTGTCGGTGTGTGTGTGTGTGTGTGTGTGTGTGTGTGTGTGTGTGTGTGTGTGTTTTTGCACTATAACATTACAGGCAGTGGAGTCAGGAGTGGTCTGTCCCTTTGTGTTTCGCAGTGTGAATGTGTGTTTTTCTGTAATGTGTGTGTGTGTGTGTGTGTGTGTCTAGCTGGGCCGGTCGAGGATGGTGGACATGGACGGAGCGATGGGGGGAGGCGGGACGCCGTTGTCCGGGGAGGCGGGGCCGGAGCTCTCGTGCCCGGGGGGGGCGGGCCCTCGGTTGCTGTACTGGCCGATGAAGGACCCGTCCTCGTTGAACTGGATGTCCACGCTGTCCCCGTACTCCGCCAGAGAGTCGTCGCTGCCCAGCTTACTCTCCCCACACAGAGAGGGCTGGCTCTCAGAGCGCTTCTCATCCGCATCGCTGCAATACAGAGCAGAGGAACTCGGTCAGAAATGAAGGACAATTGCTTTATAAAAGCTGATATTTGAATAAGAGTCAGAGTTGTGAGCAGGGAGGGAATTAAGTACTTTTAAGTACCATACTGTTTTGAGGTTCTTAAAGAGGACATGTTCTGCTCGTCTCCGTGCTTTAATGTTCAAAAAGCTCTTTATTTTTCTCATACTGCCTGTGCTGCAGCACCTCTTTTCACCCTCTGTCTGAAACCAGAGCCCAGTCTGCTCTGATTGGTTAGCTGGCCGGCTCTGTTGTGATTGGTCAACCGCTTAGAGATGACCCGCCTATCATGTACAATGTGTTGGAGCGCTAGCCAAAAGAAGTGCAAGTGTTACATAGTGAGGTCACTATGTCCCAGAAGTAAACAAAGGAGTCCAATGGAGGCGTTTCAGGCAGGGGGGGGGGGGGGGGGTGTGAGGGGAACACAGGGATGTGAGCCTCTGCAGACCATCTACATGCACAACAGCCTAAATGAACAGGTTGTTGTCTGGTGGAATTAGTGGATTAGTAACTGGGTAAATGAAAATAAAGGTCTGGGTCTCTCCGAGTTTTTAACATAATTAATGTTCTCACCTCTTCAGAGATCTGCAGGCAGAGCATGAAGGAAAGAAAAGTGGGAATACAAAGGAGAGAGAGCCAGGAGTGTTAGAGGTAAAGGTAAAAAGGCAAGCAGTTAGAAAATAAATGATAAATTAGTAGAGATTTCATTCCAAAGTGAAGATATTGAAATGTTTAGGCACTAGGATACCTGACAACAAATACAACCTTCAGTTGCGGTATGAAACGGAGTCATGTACTGTTTCGACATATTAAGTTGAGGATATTTTCAAGCTACAATTCTACTCTATTTTGTAGGCAATATTGTACATTATATTATAAATGTACACTAGCTACTTTGTGTACATACTGTAAGGATATGCCTATATGTTATGATGCAGTACTGTGCTACTGATGCAGTACTTTAAGTATTCAATTGTTCTGGCTGGCCGGCTCTGTTGTGATTGGTCAACATTGAAAAACTACAGCAACATTTGTTGGTGATAAAAAAAGAATGACAATATTCTACAAATCATTTGATACTGTGAAAAGAGCCAATAAATACTGAGTACTTCTTAGTGTGATACTTGGAGTACATGTTGCAGATAATACTTCTGTACATCTAGGTAAGTCATATTTTTCGATTCAGGATTTTTTCTTGTAATGTATTTTATTTGAGCAAAGGATCCGAGTACTTTATCAAATCAAGTTTTATTTATATAGCACCTTTTTAAACGATTTTTGGTGGAGCCAAAGTGCTGTACATATAATACAAATAGCCTACAGTAGAGACACTTTACAGCAAATACAACAGCACAGATTGTGCAGAATATCAGTATGAGCAAACGACACCCTCTGTCCTTAGACCCTCACATCGTACAAGGAAACACTTCCAGAAAAAACCCAGTTTAAGGGAAAAATGAGTCTTTATACGATGGGATTCACAGTGATTCAATATGTATGTGGTTTCCTGGCAACACAATGTTCTCAGACAGAAAGGTGGCGCCCTGACCATTGTTAGGCAATTATCATATGGATGTTAGGGTTTGTAATTAATAATAATACATTACATTTATAAAGCGCTTTTCCTGGTGCTCAAAGCGCTTACAAGCAAGTAAAACAAAATAACAACAAAAGTAGAAATGCTGCGCTTCCCCTTCTGTCTGCCCCCACCCCATTAGGACTGTAATGTGGATTGCCTTCCTTCCTGTGTCTCATCTCTATAAATGCCTTTCTGTGTACGGGGTCAGATCCTGGTGCTCTCCGCTAGAGCAGGACCTCTGTCCTTTCCAGCTGGAAATATGATTGATTCTGTTAAATGCTATAACTCTTAAACAACACGACTTTGGTTTAAGCTTGTATATTTGGAATCTCCACCACACTTGGAAATAAAGTCGCTCAGGTTTGTATTTGACAGAATACAAAGGTAACGGAAAACAGTGAAGCCAACACACACTCATTATCAGAGTGTGTGTTGGTCAGAGCATCAATCAGAGTCCTTCCTCTTAAAAGCTTCACTGTCGGCTCTTTAATGCAGAGCGGCTTCTCTGAGAGGAATCTCTGCTCAGACCGACACGCAGCTTCAAACATCTCACAGTGCCAGAAAGAAACCACAGCTGGAATCACTCAGCAGGAACATGGTGGCCATAAATCATCAAACTGACCCACGCTGGAAGCTTGGTTTCCTCAAGTGGTGCAGAGTACATTTCCTCTAAGTGTGTACAATTCTGAGATAGTTTGCTTGAGTACGTCCATTTCCTGATCCTTTATACAACAGTACAAGTCCAACTGAAAGTATCATGTCTGCTGCAGCACAACACCTTCAACTCACACGTTCTCTCTTTATAAAACACATCAACAGGGAGAAGTGTTTTCAGTCTCATAATACCATGAATGAGGCGGTAGGAGGAACTGGCACACATACAACTCTAAAAGCAAGATATATATGGGTACAGACTGAGCATACACAAAGAGTCAAATACAATAAGAACGATCACTGTGGAGGAAAAACAAACAAACCTCAAAGTAAGAAAAGATCTGGCAACTGTTGTTATGCTTTATTTCAAAGTCGGACACATCTCCATTAATGTTACCAATTAGCAACGAGTGATCAACGGAATGACCGATGTGAGGATGTCATGTCTTGGTGCAGTTTGTACGTTTGGTATGGATGTTCCTGGAGACCCTCAGGATTTCTTTTTAGTGTGGCTTGATGATTTATGGAGAGACTCACCTGTACTCTCCAAACGTCTCGTCCTTCATGGGCCGAGCCTCAGAGTCCCCCTCCTTGTCCTCTTTGTCTTTCACTGTGAGAAAGGACATCCATCAAAATCTGCCTTACAGGCTAACGTCTGTGTGTGTGTGTGTGTGTGTGTGTGTGTGTGTGTGTGTGTGTGTGTGTGTTGTGTGTGTGTGTGTGTGTGCGTGTGTGTGTGTGTGTGTGTGTGTGTGTGTGTGTTTGGTTGTGCATGAGAGTCTGTAGCACTAGGCCATATGTCGATGAGACTAATTTCTGTCTTCAAAATGTCACATGGCTGAATTTGAGTCTTTTCCGTGTTTTAAAAGCTGAATTATAATAAAAACAATGTCATTTTCTGAGTTTATAGACATGTAGCTTTTCCAATAGTTGCCTGTACCTACTTTGCTGATGATCATTTATGAGAATTGTCATTGTGAAAATATGTTGTGACAGCCTCAATGATCAACGTCATCACAATGTCCTCACAAGATTGATACCGTAGGGCAGGGGTGTCAAACTCAACATTAAAAAATGGGTACTAGTCGAGGGCCGGACTGGTTCAATGTTTATTGCAGGACTTACTGAAATGAACTTATTGCACATATTAAACCTGGAACTAACAAAGCTTCAATTATTGCCTATAAAAACAACATTAAACAATCAGTTGCATTAATTTCTTATGGCTCTATCTGCAGCTTTTCCAGAGTCATTTCTCATGAGTACATTTTCCCACAGGCCAACAACAGCTTCAACAAAACTATTTCCCTCAAAGAAAAACCAAACATGCCCTGTTGTCGTGAGAGAAAGTGCAGAAGGAAACATCCATGTAAAGTCAGTGTGCTGCTCTGTGATGCTAGTTCAGATACTTGGCATCTCATCTTGGGTGCAAGTTCATCGATGTTTGGGCTCAGGCTCTGAGCTGAGGAGACCCTCAGGATGGAGTGAAGGTGTGCGTGCAATATACCGGCGGGCCAGATCTAATAGTAATTAGAAATTATCCTGCGGGCCGAAATTAAATCCACCACGGGCCTGATTTGGCCCCCGGGCCTTGAGTTTGACACATGTGCAGAAGGGGGTCAAAAAGATTGTGATATCTGATTTTCTTATGCTGCCCCTTCTGCTTGGAATAATATACAGAAGGAGCTGAAACTCTCAGATGTTGTCCATGCTGCCCTCTTGGCCAGGTCGCTCTTGAAAAATAGTTTGTAATCTCAATGAGACTTTTACCTGGTTAAATAAAGGATGTATATATATATATTTCTTCGTATGGCCTAGGCCTATCGGAGCGCTGTTTGTCGTACCTGCGTATTTCCCCCCCTTGCTGCGCTTGATGAGGCAGAGGATCAGCAGGATGAGCACCAGCAGCAGGATGGCAGCGATGAGTCCGATCAACCAACCCCGAGCAGCGAACCCACCGGGCATCACCGACGGCGCTGAGGGAGGAGAGAGAGGGGTTCATTAGGAACTGTTTACAATGTCCATTAAGCTTCTTTTGATTTTTTTACAATTTTTACAACCCAATAATGACGTAGCACATCCATGACAAATACATAATTACAAAGCAAACCAAAAGACACAACATAACAAAAACTGCTCAGTCTCAAACATACATACATGTAGGTGGTTACAGGAGGAGTATCACATGTATGATTGAGGATGAATTTATGATTACAGCAGATTCATGAGGTTCCTTTAACAATAACAGCCGACAATTCAGGTCCAAGGAAATGTAAGTAAGGCTGCCATGTTGTATAGAACTGGTCAGATCTGGCATGTAAAACATTTGTGAGATATTCCAGGGGAACCAACTCAAATATAATGTTGCGCCAGCCTTTGAGAGATGGGACCTGATCCTTAGTCCCATTAAGCTTCTTAACATTCACATGTAATGTAATATACTTTTAAATGTTGGCCATGAGGGTTGTGCAATACGTCGCCATTGTCAGTATGTGCGTCTGTGTATTGTGTTTGTGCAAACGGTGTATGAGTGAGGATATGTGGATGTATTTTAATGTGTATTATGTTTGTATATGTACATGTATGCAGAACTTACGCGGACAATAAAGTATATCGTATCGTTTCAATGATTCTCATGCAGGTAATGCATTACTGATTTTCTCAATGGAGTCTGGTGGCTGTGAAGTGAGCATAGGTGGATTCAAATGCTTCAGTCCCGTCAGAAAGGTCTGTCAGACTGAAATGTAAAGTGACATTTAAATATGCTAAATCTAGCGTACACCTAAACTTTATAAGGTGGGCCTTTTTGACCACTATTTGTTATACACTGGCTATGTACCTCATGAAACCTATTATCAGTTCCTGTTAGCACCAATACATTTAAAGACAACAACTATCACTGAATTACTTTGACACCGAACAATAACTTGAAAGAGTTAGGATTTCAAGACATTTTTGCAAGTAAGCGGCGTTTATAAACCTTCGAGCTACTTGGTTATTCAACGTCAGTACCAGGCCGGGCTTTAGTCACACACACACACACACACACACACACACACACACACACACACACACACACACACACACACACACACACACACACACACACACACACACACACACACACACACACACACACACACACACACACCTGCTCCTATGGTCCGTGTCGAGTTCTCCCACTGAGTGTCGTTGATCATGAGTTGGTACTCAGATCCCGGCAGGAGGCCTTTCAGCAAATATAAACCCTGCGTGGAGTTCACCACCTCCGAGTCCAACCAATCACAGCCGGCTGCAGAAAACACACACACACAGATTAGTAAAGCTGTCTTTGGTCACTTTCTATTACTGCAAGTGTTCAATGCAGAGACCAAATGACTAAAATGACTAAAAGAACATATGTTTTCACTCTCTTCTTCTTCCATTTCCTACTTTCTATCAGACATCTTTTCTTCTTTCTACATGTTAATCTGAGAAGTAGTGATATGTGATCATCTCGTGAAATGGATGAACCAATAAGTGCCTGTTAATAATGAATAAAGGCATCCTCTTCTCTCTTCCTCCATCTTAGAGTCATTTAGCTCTCTCCCTCCCTCTCTCCCTCCCTCCTTCCTTCCTCCTTCCTCCATCTTTATCTTAGAGTCATTTAGCAGAAAAGTAAAAGCCTCCTCCCTCTCTCCCTCCCTCCTTCCTCCCTCCTTCCTCCCTCCTCTTACGGCACTTCCTGCGGTATCGGATGATGAAGCCGTGGTTCCTGAATCTCTCTCCGTGCACCCAGCTCAGGTTGAGTGACGTGTTGCTGGGAACTATGTTGATGTGTGATGGAGCAACTGGAAGGAGACACAAAGAGGAAAGAGGGATTTAATGAAAAGTTATAAATAAAGTTCATGAGACCCAATCGGACAGCCGGACACACCATCATCCTTCAACCAAGCCCTTTCATCGCAGCCCTTCAACCTCCTATTACTGCCAACATCAACAAGAGCAGAACACTTCCAATACCTCAACAATACCAACACATTAACCATTTCATATCTGTGATATTAGCCTAACGAAAAGCAGCGTAAAAAGTAAATAAAATAATACTAATGATATTAATATCTCAGGTGGAAATTGGGTTTGTGACAGTTGATTTATTTTAGAATGAAAGGATACAGATTTCCATGCAAACTTTTGAAGTGAAACTAAAGATGTGAAATAAAAAGTTTTACATTTAGAATATAAAATTGCTAAAGTAGTACAATGCAATCAATCTGTATAAATGTGTATAAATACATGCAGTGATTTAGATGTGAATGCATAATGCACAGTTAAAAAGGGTAAACACTTAATAAACAAAATGACGTAAACGGTATTTTATCCTCATGGCGGCAGTCTCACCTCCGTCCAGCGCGGTGGCCCCCCTCCGGGTGATGGGGGGTCCTTCTACAATGGTGCTAGCGATCACGTTGAAGATGTAATGGCTGCTCGGGTCCAGAGAGTCCAACTCAAAGTGGGTCATAGTGGGGTCGTCGATGTACTCCATCTGCAGCAAGCTGTTCTCCAGATCTACAAACACACAGTGGTGAAATCAAACAAGCTACAAGTGCTGTATGTCAGTATGTTGAGGTACTGGAATAATCAAAATGCCCCTACCCTCCCGATACTGCACCACGTATCCCTGCAGGATGCCGTTGGTCTCTTCTGGAGGGCTCCAGTAGAGGATCATGGACTTCTCTGAAGGACTCTCCAACCTTAACGATGCAGGAGGACCAGGCGCTAAACACACACACAAATATACTTGTTGTAATATATGTATTTTCTAAGACACAAAAGGTTGTTCTATAAAGTGGTTTTCTTACAGTGGAACTGGTTAAAAGCAACACTATATAAGTATGTGTCCAGTGGCTCTTCACACGTTCATGTACATGGCCTCTCTTGTTAAACAGAATAATATAAATATAGTAAAACCACAATTAGAAGAAGAAGAATAGTGTGACAGAATACCGTAATTGGACTTGAACCCTTTCGGTTCTCCAAGTCAAGTCCCAACTAAAAACGTTGTTTAAACACTTGCACACACAAAGGGTGCATACACAGCAGTTAAATATTTTTGACTTCTTCAATAGCTACATATTTCACTATTTAATTTTGTCTTAATTTACATTATTTAATTTCATATTCTGTTCTTGTACATATCATATTCTAGTCTATGTATATAGACTTTTTGCACTACTTTTTATTTTGTATTTTTGTATTTTATGATATATGTTGCATTGTTGGAGGAGCTCAGGTCAGAATAATTTCATTGCCATTTCTACACTGTAGCTTTGTGCATATGACAATAAAACCTTTGAATCTTGAAATGAACGTAAGTTTCATGAACACTCACCTCCCTGTGGGGTGCTGAAGTGGTGCGGGGGGGAGCGAGGCCCCTCCCCTTTGCTGTTAAAGGCAGCGACGGACAGCTCGTAGCTGGAGTAAAGCCGCAGCCCCGTCACCTCCTCTGAGGTCTTCACGCCGTGGACCACCACCTCCCGGTCTCTCTCCCTCGCTCGCTCCAGCTTATCCTCTCTCTTCTGGTGCTGTTTCCCGAGAGACCTCCGGACCCGACCGCCCTGCGGACCCAACCTCTGGAGGTAGATCTGACAAGGAGTAACGTTTAATTAATGAACAGTTGGACCGAGAGAAAATGATGTATTTGTGCTGCCTTTCCTGCTTTGATAGACTTACAACTACAGCTGTAAACAATGAGTCATAACAGAAAATGTAATTTTGATTATTTATTTTGATCATTTATGAAGCTAAAAACATCTAATGCTCTTATTTCCAGCTTCAAATGGAAAGCCTGGCTGCTTTTCTCTCTCATTGTAAACAAATCATTTCTTATTGAACACAATGATGTTCTTTAATCGGCCACAAGGTGGTGCTGTATGCACTACAAAGTAATGTGTTCTTCCTAGGGCAACCCACAGATTATGTTGAATTCAAAAAATGTGTTTTCTTATGATATATTATAACAGATAATTGTTCTGTTAAGGTTTTGATCCGTCTGGAATAATTAAATACACTTTTAATACCGTGGAATAGAAAAAGTGTTGTCAAAATGTATAGAAGATAAATGAGGACGGCATCCAGCAGAATTTCCAGCACAACAATTCACCAAATGATACACCATATAGTATTTACAGTATGACATATAACTGGGACATTAGCAGAGAACAGAGTTGTTTAGTTGAGTTTTCTAACATCCGTTACCTTGTATCCCAGCAGCAGACCTCTCACATTTTGGGCTTCTTTCCACTTGACTGTGACGGTGCTGTCTATCACTTTCGTGGAGACATTAGTGGGAGCTTCCTGCGGCTCTGAAAGTGTCAGAAAGACAGGATGAGTTTGTGTAAGAATAAACATCATCAACAAAAACAATAAGAACCTTACACGTCATTATGCTCCCAGAATCACATATGGGGCGAAGCCTGCGAGCTAGTTCAGTCAACTCGAGCACCAATGATACATTAACACGTGACGCACCTGTCCCTCTTACAGCCAACCAATCACATTCTCCTAAACATGCCGCTCTATTTAAGCTGCCAGGTCTTCCTGCCTCTGCCTCGCTTGCTGCTGCTCGCTGCTGCCGCTGCCGCTGCTGCTGCCGCTGCTGCCGCTGCTGCCGCTGCCGCCGCTGCCGCTGCTGCCGCTGCCGCCGCTGCTGCCGCTGCCGCCGCTGCTGCCGCTGCTGCCGCTGCTGCCGCTGCCGCCGCTGCTGCCGCTGCCGCCGCTGCCGCCGCCGCCGCCGCCGCTGCCGCCGCCGCCGCCGCTGCCGCCGCTGCTGCCGCTGCCGCCGCTGCTGCCGCTGCCGCCGCTGCTGCTGCGTTCACTTGCTATTGCTACGTTCATGTTCCTGCTGCTGTGTTTCATGTTGCTGCTGCTCGCCTGCCCCACCACCACCCCAGCTTCCACCCCCCACCACCTGTAGGCTCGGGGGATAGTTATAGTTAATGTTCTTTGTAAATCTGTGGAGTGATGAGGCCCGAGCCTAGACGCCAAACTCAAACTATATGCTGCTTCTAATAAACATATTAAGAACGCGTGAGTTGTCTGACTGAACTACATTGCTGGTGTTACTGACAGACACTTCATGTGTGTAGCTTTGTCCTAACTTGTTTACTTTATTGACAAATATACCATTAATTGATCAGCATCCATTGTGTCCCACTGGGTTATGACACTTCTGATCCGATCAAATAATCCCTAGTACATTAATGACATCTTAATTGTACTGCAAGCCTCCTCTTGGTGAGAAACGCAGCAGCTCTCAGCCCCACAGTAGACTCATGCATGGTCATGTTACATTTTATTGGCATGCAGTTTCTATCCATCACTAATTGAGGATCGTGACTCTTGACCTAGAGACATTTTCCGTAACTTGCTGCACAGCAGAACGCTTGATTTCAACCACAAACAAGATCACAACAAAACAGATCTGTCATGTGTTTCATTTCTCTCATTGGATCGGACATTGCTGCAGAACAGGCTCGGTGGGATGCTCTGTGAAGATGTCTTTTTGTGAGACGATTTCATCTCTTGTCACATCCAGAATGTCTTGTACAATAAGGGAATGTTGACCTCTTTTATGAGGGACATAATGACTCACTTTAAGTACAAGACAGCTCTGAAAGAAAGTATTTGAGGCGCTGTGTAAAGAGGGTGAGGGAACAGTCTGCAAACAGATCATAAATAAAAAGTTCCTAAAATCATAGGATACGTTAGTCAGAAGGAATTTTCGTCTTGACTATAAAGACGTTAATTATAGTATAACACGTGAGGATTATCAATGAGACATTTGGAAGGATTTGTGCTAGAAGTACAACCTGTTTTAGTTCATTAGATAAAATAAGAACTGCATTTAATGAAAATATATCTTGATATTGAAGACTTTGGACTCGAATGAACTTAGCATTATTAGTTTACTCATATTGAAAGGATTTGTTTTACTTTGAGATAAAATCATCGAAATGAAGCTAAATAACCTGGAGAGATGATGTACCCACAGAGCCATGTTTGTTCATTTTAGGATATCCTTAATATCGTCACGTTTCTTAAAAATATCCACATTTTTCCAAGAATGGCGATAACAACAAGTTCGGAGTCGCTAAAACTATTGTTGTATCCCAGTGTCTGATGTTGACTTTTATTAAACTAAACTATGGAATCCATTTATTGTATTCTTTTGCAAATTCTAGGAATTTTCTGTTTTTTTGTTAACCTTTTTTTATTCCGGAATTTTCTTTTATATTTCAATTTGATCTCCTTTTGTTTATATATTCATTGTCATTCATTAATGTCTTTTTTTTTCTCTTTATCATTTTCCATGTCTTTTTAAAAATGGTGAGCTTTGCTTTGGTACTTTTTTGTTTCTGATGCGATTGCACCGACATTGATTGTCTGAGGTGGCCCAGACTATACTACTTAGTACATGCAATTTCTAATAATAATAACGTACATTATATTACTACTATTTGTGCAATCTGAGCCATTGTCTGCCACACTGTCTTTGAATTCAATCAATCAACTAAACCTTATTTATAAAGCACTATTCATTATCAAAGTGCTTTACAAACCAAGACTAGAAACAATATCAACTACAAATAGGTGCAGTTTCACAAAACGTAATATCGTGATACTCATGTGTATCAATATTTGCAACACTCCCTACGTACCGTCCTCTCCGGAGTATCCGATCTCCGGCTCCGGTGTCGGTGCCCCCCCGACGTCGTTGACAGCCTGGACTTTGATCTCAAACGGCGTGTACGTCCCCGTGTCGTTGATGACGTACGGAGGCGTCGCGACGTCTGCGTGGTTCCACTGAGCGTCGCCCCCCCCCACGCCACGACACGTGGTACTTGAACCCCTCGCCGGAGTGGAAGCGCTTGTCCATCTCCTGCGAGGATAGGAAACGTAGGAATACAACATTGATTCAAGGTTCAAGGCTTTTGTTGTCATGTGTGCATAGCTACTGTGTATCAATGAACATCTGAGGTCCCAGGCTCCTCCAACGGTGCAACACAATAAAACAGATACAATAGTGCAAGTAAATAAAATAGAATAGAAACAGAATATGATAGAAACTGTGCAGAGTAGTCTATATACAGTAATTGGAATATTGACATGGGAGTTGCAAACAGACGAATGTTGTGTATGTTCTTTCAAAAGTGCAGGTGTTTAACAGTAACGTGTTTTTATTTTATATTTATTGGACCTTTGTATTCTAATAATGACAAACTCTCACTAAACCCAAATAAATCCCTGCAATAAGCTGGCCCTAAACATTTTAAATCAATATTTGTATTTTATTATTTCTTTATAGAACCGTTTAACTTTATAATACTACTAGTTCTTATGGTTGTATGATTTTTTATTAACCTTTTTTTGTTTTTATCCTAAAATGAATCACTACGCCGAAATGCCCCCAATATGCTGGCGCCGCTAATGTTTTGTGAAAATACTCACGTCCCAGGTGATGATCATAGTCTTAGGGTCTGTGGACTCGCTGCGCACACCTGAGGGGTTTCTGTCAGGGACTGCAGGAAGATAAAGGGAGAAAAACACTTAGTAAAGGTATAAAACAAAAGCTTTTAAATAGATAGATCGACAAACACACTTGTTTGCTTTATGAATATGAAATAACTCACATTACTTTGCAGTTAAGTCTAAATACTGGATAACAATATCTACCTTAAGGCACCTTGTAGCTAATAATAAGCAATATATATTTATTATGTTAGTCTAATTTGCATTAGAAAAGAGGGATACAACAAGATGTGGTTCTGAAAGGAAAACTCCACCCCAACAGGGACCGTTTCCATTTCTCACGCAGTGTTACACACACTTCTTTAAGAAAACGTTGGCTCTAGCATGCTTCCACTCTTCCTGTAGATTCCAAGACTCATTTGTTCAGTCGTATGCTCACTTCTTTCAAAACACCTTTTTAATATAACAAAACACTTGTGCATTAAACAATGCTCCGATTGAAGACCAGCTTGTCTGCAGACGTGTGTTTATGCAGAAGTATTAAAAAAGTTATGTTTAGGAAAAATACTGTCTAGGAATTAGTAAGTACGCGATCAATGAGAATTTGATTAAACTAAGGATCTCATTGGTTTTCTTCAGGTATTCAAGACAACAATCGTTTCAACACTTTGTCTTCAAAACCAATATCTTGGTTCCTGCGTTTTGCACATTATGTTCTCGATAACATTGCGATTAATTGTGTTATCGTTACAGTGTCGGCGTCTCACCGGCAGGGGGGGTTTTGTGGTGGTCCGAGAAATGGCTGGGGTCGCTGCGGCCGATCTCGTTGACGGCGAAGACCCTGAAGCGGTAGGTGCAGTACGGGTGGAGGGTGAGCTCCAGGTGGTTGAACTCCCCCGGCACCCTCTTCCACTCCTCCCACCTCCACCTGCCTTGCTCCGTGTGCTGCTCCTCACGAGCCTCCACGATGAACTCTGAGAGAGACAGGGAGAGAAAGATCACTTCAAAATGTCCTCTGTTGTAATGTATAATGTGTCAATAAAGATTTCAATTACAACAAAATACTAATGTCCTCAGTTACTGAAGACAATTAAGATGGCACATTTTTTTACGTAACCCAAAGTATGAAGTACATTTTTATGATAAATCTTATCTGTATGCTAGAGGATTACTTTAGAAGTATAATTATAAAATAACTAAACTAGAATGAAATGTTAAAAACATTGCCACCCGTACTAAAGAAGGTGAGACACAAATATTGTCTTTTAAATGAAATCTGCTTTTTAAAGATGACGATTGAATTCAAATGAGCAGAGCCTGCTCAAATGTGT